AAAAAACAGAGAGATGGCTTGCGCGCATACGCATATACAGGGCCAGAGGCAACTACTCGGAAACTTCTCGTGCTGTCCTTTCTCATCATTCCATTCGTTCATGATAGCCGTGCTGTGCCTCTTCCTTTTTTTTTCCCTCTCTCTTTTTATTGAAGAAAATAATTTTATTGTAGTCTTCAGAAATTTTATTGTTCTGATTAATGTTTTAGTATCTTTAGATTTTAGAAAGAGAATATGATTATCAGAACAAATTTTAAATTTTGACTATCCTTATACATAACATCTCACTTTTACGCTTAACTTTATTTATTTGCCTTCTAGGATACGGATTATTTATTCTATCTTTTATACTCTATCTTCTTACGTCACACTTTACCCTACCCATCTTGACGATTAATAGAAGAGTAGTTTTTATGCTATGAGATGGATGTTGTAATGGGAAGTAGACTAAGACATTACTGCAAAATTTAAAATTTGACAAAACATTTTGCAAAACGCACCTCCGTAAATATGAAAAGCCCAAAAGAATTTGTGCACTGGCCCATCTAATATTAGTCAACGGGCTGAACTTCCTCTGCAGACCCTTTTACAGCCCATGACCCGATTGCATAAATGGGCCTTACGGATCCATTAACATTCCCATTCAATTTCATTCCCGCTTCAAGCTGTGTCCAAACGTAGTACAATTTCGGCTCAATTGAAAAAGAGAAAAAAACAAAAAATCTAGAACTTGTCATACTATTTTAAAATTTCAAAAATACATTTCCAACAAAAACCTATTAATATTTTGATTGAAAAGTTTGTGACATAATTTACCCTAACGTGATAGTTAGTGTAGTCTTTTTCTTTTTTAATAACTCTAAAAAGAGAGAAAATGTAGAAGAGACAAATAGCTTTCCAAAATGTAATTAGGAGAAAATTAAGTAGACAATAAAGAAGATTTTATTGTAAAAATTAAAACACATGTCAATTTAGATTCGACCACGTTAACTTCCTACACAAAGTATTAACAGTTTTTTGTTCAAATTGCTCAAAAATATTTTTGAAGCGTCTATAAAGGTGAAAAGCAGTGTCATCAAACTTTTAAAAAGATGGGAATATTTAGTACTTTTGTATTTTAGCATATAATTTCCTATCTATATGCATTTATTAGTCCTTAAATTTTAGTTTTTCTATCGTCAATATCGAATAGCAAATGGAAATATTGTGCAAAMATTTGTCAAACATGATGGTGACATATGGATTCTCCTTTACASATGTTAAATACTTTGAAATAATTATACCACTCAAAAATATTTTTCAAGTAAAGGCTTTACCGAAATAACATTAACTACTCTCACCCAAGTGTGTTGAGTTTAGCGTGTGATTCGAAAAGAGAAGATAATAATAAAATTGTAATATTTGGTATGTAATTTGGATTCTATTTATAAATTCACTTAATCAAACTGATTAAATGATTGTTTGTTTGAAATATTTGTTTTTTAAATTTATTTTTAGATGATGTGATTGTAAATCCTGAAAATAGTATTATTATGTTTTATTTGAAAATTTTAATCTAAAATCTTAAAATGCATAAATATATTTTAAAACTAAAAAATTTTTGATAAATATAGAATTTCATGCTATAAACTAATTTTTTTTTCTTGTTAAAATCGAAACATGTAAAATACAATATTATAAAATAATTACTCTACAAATTTTAAAATATTGATATTAATAATTAATTAATAATATTTTAGATTCTGTACGTTAAAAAAAATATAAATATATATATATTAGATTCAACTAATAATTAGTAGCTAGATTTACCAATATAACAATCTTCAAATTTGGTAATAAGTGCATATTTGAAAACTGAAAAAGAGGAATATAATTATGCTTGTTTTGTCACTGACCAAAAGGCACAATAAACATCGAGGACTTCTGAAAACTAGGTTGATTTTGAAATTCTTGAATAAACGGCGGGAAGCCCGGCGGTCCGGTAACAGCCAATGATGTCGGCGACGAGGAAAGATTAAAAAAATAATAATAAAAACATTAGCCATTAATGAAAATTTCAATGATTGCACTTCAAACAAGTTGGTTACCAAAACCTCCCACCGTCTCCAACAACTATATGTTACGATCTGTCGGCCACCGTCAACCTCAATTACTAAACTACGAATACAAAAAAACATGTTTAAGCTTCAGATTTGGGATTATGTGAATTGTGAGGCACGTGAGTGGGAGCGTGGACAGCTGGTCAAAGCTATTTCCAAATCAATGCCAAAAAAAAAAAGGAAAAATTATTCCTCGTAAAAGAAGGCAACTAACTTAGATTTGTGCTTTAATTAGATCTCTAAGTTTCAGTGTCGGCGAGATTTTAGAAACTTAATGCATAGGGGCCCTCGCCCTAAAGCTGGCGGTTTTGGCCTTTGGGTGAGAATTTACGCCGAAACAAAGCCAGAAAATAAAATTTAAAAAAATTTAACTGGTGGGAATTGGGAAAAGGGATTCAGCTGAGCTGAGCTGACTGACACTCTCTTTCGGTTAATTAGAATCCTATGACACAGCCACTCACCTCAGAGCTGGACTCCACTTCATTTCTTTTCATCTTTATTTTTTCCTTTTTTTCTACTTTATTTTGCTTTGTCCATGTACATACAATTATATGAAACATATTTTGATCTTTTAAAATATTAGATTTTTATATTGAACTCTCTGACAATACTTAGATCTTGCAGGAGGAGTTTCTTTTTTTTTTTTTTTTTTTGCTGAAAATTACAAGCATGACTGTTGTACTATTATCACCGAAAAGTCAAATCTAATACATTCCATGTCTTTGAAATATTAAAAAAATAATTGGAAGGAGTAGTTTTATAATTAATTGTCTGTGTCTGTGATTGTTTGTTGGAAGCCAGTAAGGCAGAGAAATAGAAATAGCGCAACCGACTTCGTGGCTCCCATTTTTTTCCCACTTTCCAGATCGCGCCCGCAAAACCCGAGACCCGACCCGACCAACTGCAGGAATTACGCGCCAATTTTTGCCTACTTGGCGGGCATTCGCAATCTCTCCCGGAAATCCGGCGCCTCTTTCAGATCATTTCCCACTTCGCCGCCGTTTTTCCGGGTTTTTCACAGAACTCCCTTCCACTCAAAATATTAATTCTTTTTTAAATTAATAAAGTAATAAATGTAACGTGACGACGGGCGAACATGTGGTTGTGGTTGCGGCTGCCAATGCCAAATGACTCATTGACCACAACCGAACTCAGACGTTATAACCTACACTACACACAGTCCAATAATTGACCTGGTGGTGTTTTCTGGTAAATATGCAGAATTCAATGGTCAATTCTGAAATTTTACCTGTGTAGAGGTAGATTCAAGAATGTGGACATGGCTATGGTGGGATATCGTCTTTAGGCCTCGTACTTTTGCACATGATATTTTTTCTCCTCTCACTTTTCAACCCAACTCAATGCTTTTCCATCTTTTTTTTTTCTTTCGCTTTATTGGAAACTCGGTTGCGTGAAGAATCGTGCGGATCAGGGCGTGCCGCATGTTTAAGATTCCTCTTCCTTTTACCATATTCCCTCCACGCGCCGCCATCCCACCGGCACACACCACGCCCCAACAAGCTTCTTTTCTTTATTAGCAGTTAGTGTTGGAACTTGGAAGTTAGTTGCTACCAAATTAACCCATGAATGTTTCGATTATTCCATTACATCAAATAATTAATTCCATTCTTAATATTATTCTAAATTAAGTTCGAATCGAACCAACTTTTACTTTCGGTTGGTTGGCTCTGTTCAACTATTGAGCTATTCCACAAGTTATACTCTCCAGTCTCCACCAACATCACTAAAAATCATCTCAAAATAAATAAAAAGTAAAAATTCGGTTACTATTCGGGCACCGGCTTACCTTGTAGAGAGAGAGCGCAATTATTGTAATTCTACGACCAGTTTCCTCTTATGGGAATTAATAATGTACTAATATGGGAGGGGATTTATAAAATTCATGGCATTTAATTGCTGCTTTGCTTTCAGTTGGGGCTATGTGACGTTATATCCAACGTACGCCGTGAAGTTGTACCGTCGATGGCCTGCACTCCGTTAAATCTGAAACGTCAGAGCCGTGACCCGTGGTACTAAATCCACCATTTTTATTCAATCGACGATCTAAAAAGAGAGAGGAGCGGTTCGGTTGAGGTGGCCCACTCATCTGGGCTCGTGCCGAGCGGCACCCTATTTTTCAACTTTCAATTCCCACTCGCACCTACCCTGCGTTTACCTCCCACGACCACAGCGTCAATTTTTCCAATTTTAATAATTTATTTCCTTATTGTTTTTTAAAAAATCTGAAATAATGTTATATAAAAAAGTTGTTAATAGTGGCGCCAGCCAACTGGCGCAAGCTTTGTGGAAGGGACGCTTTACATATCAAGGTGCACGTAGTTACACTCATTTACTTTTATTTTCAATTTAAATTTTGATTTTTCCTTTTTTATAAAAAAAATTCGTTTCCTTTTTCCTATAAAGAATCCCCCTCTTTTTGTTATCTGCCCCCTTCACCTCCTTCTAGATTTCTTGCCTTCGCGTCTCCTCTCTTTCTTTCGTTCTCTCTCGTTTCTGATCGGATTCCGCTTTTAATTTTGGTCGCTGCCTTCGTGATGATGGCTGAGAGTTTGGACGACGGCGAGTTTTGGCTTCCGCCTCAGTTTCTTGCTGATGATGATAATATGTTGGATCACAAGAGTTGCAATACCAGAAAAAGCAGTGATCGAAATTGTTTGTCTCAGTTTGGACGGGCTTCGTTTCCGTTGGAATTCGGCACTTTCGGGGGATTTTCAGATTTCAGTTCTCCGGGCGAATCATTGAAGGGTTCCAGCGAGACGGAGAGTGACGAGGAGGATTACATGGCTGGTTTAACTCTCCGTATGGCTCACTCATCAGTTGATGACGCCTTCGACCCCGATAATGCAAAGGTTTCAAATCGAAACTTGTTTGATTTTCTATTTTCTTTGAATCCCATGTCTAATTTTGGGGGTTCTTCTTCACAGGGGAGGGTTGTGTCTGGATCTCCACAATCCACTCTGTGCGGTATGGGGAGCGGCAGTGGCTGCAGTCAAGGCTCCAGTCGCGGAAGTCCAAAAGGCAATTGTAAGGTCTCGTCCCCTCCGGCTACATGGGATCTGCTGCATGCGGCTGCAGGGGAAGTCGCCAGGATGCGAACGAATGACTGCGCCCATGGGGTTCATCATCATAACAGAGGAACTCCTCAAGTCTCTGTTCCGGTGAACAACTCCAACGCCGGTACCGGATTTTATCAGCAGTTGCATGCTATGCAGGTAAACCTCTAACCTACCTCTTTATGGGGCCTGAATTAGAAGGTCAATTAGGGTTCCGTTCTATTAGTAGTCTATACTGATTCCTTATTGGATTCATATCTTTGGCAGTTTCAGCAGGAGATTATGCAGCGACAAAACTTGGCTGCCGGTGAACAGATGAATTCTCATGCAGGGTACCAACAACAGCAGATCCATCAAATGGTTCATAATGGAGTGAGGGGCGGGGAATTCGTTGGAAACAGAGACCATCGCAGTCGGGGGTTGTCGTCATCCGCATGGCTTCCACCGCAGCAGCCGCCTCAAGGCTCTGGGATGAGGGCTCTGTTTCTTGGAACTCCTCCAGCGGGCAAAAGGGAATGCGCTGGAACTGGCGTCTTCTTGCCTCGACATACCGGCACTCAATCTGAGCCACGCAAAAAGCCAGGTCCCTACTCTCTTTCTTCTTCCCATCCCCAATTCCGCTCTCATGGAAACAGATTGATTGATGGGGCATTAAATTAAATCAAATTAAATCATCAATCCTCTCTAATTTGGAAGGTTCTTTTCGTATTTGGTAATCGTTAAAGTAATTAATGACTTTCTTTTTCTATCCGCAGGCTGTTCTACGGTGTTGGTTCCTGCTAGAGTGATGCAAGCCCTGAATCTGAACCTGGACGACATTTGCAGCCAGCCCCATCTTCAACCCGTCGCTGCCGGACGATTCAATGCGGAGAACGGTAAAAAGAAAAAACAAAACAAAACAAAACAAAACCATTACTATTAACACAGTGGTGGCCAGTTTCGACAAATCGATCTGAATATATTTTGTTATTGTGATGTGCAGACGTTCTTCTGAGGCTGCAGATCAACCGCGGCGCGAATCAACAAAAACGCAACAGCCGTCGGCAGCCACCAACGGACCGTGAACTCAAGCTTCCCCAAGAATGGACTTACTGAAGTGGAGGCGGTAGAAAGGTGTAGGAGTACGAAATTTGGTGGAGTTAGTTGGCATAGTGACAGTACAAAATTGGCAAAAGAAGAAGACGAGGAAAGAAGATGAAGAAAAATGGTATTTGTTGTTAGTTTTAGAGAAGAAAAAAAATATGAAAAATAAGTGTTTTGGATCTTCCAATTAGGAAGAGATATTAGAATTGGTAGCTAGCTAAGGTACAGCATGTTATTTTGTTCTTTGTTGGGTGGGGACTCAGGTCACTCAGTCAAAGCCGATGAACAAGGGAGGATGGAAAAGTTTATTTTCCACATCTTTTGTTTCGAAATAAAAAATATAAATAAAAAAAAAGTTTCTAGATTCTATAAAAGCCATGTGCAGTGGGGCCTTGGGCACTTTTTGGGGACTCTCACACAAGTCCACCCTCCCCATTTGCTGTATGCACAACAACACAATTTCAATAATATTGATATCATATTTTACTCTATTTCGTTTTAATTTCTTTTGTCATTCCAACTTTGAATGAATGATTAATTTGAATATGTAATGTAATTTGGTAATTGGAGTTGAAGTGAATAATTCCGTAATTGGATAAGGAGAAGGGCGGGGAATTATACTTTGCTTAAGGGAGAAGAATCTCCATCACTTGCCTGCCCGTGCCCTGGTCTGCCCGTGAGGACTTTTGAAGAATCCATAAAGGGTAGATCTTTGATATTGACAGACGTGGTCCACGATACGTGTCCCTTGCTTTCCCACGTGGCAGATCAAACCTTCACTTTTGTAAAAAGATCTCTCCGAACCAAACTCTATACTGCATCAAATTAAACCGACGTAATAACAAATGTTGAAATGGCACAAGGGTGTAAATAAAAAATACAAGAAAATACCTCTCCACTTTGCCCATTTCAAAAGTTCTAATATTATTTCTTTTTTACTCGTTTAAAATATTAATGAATGTTTGTAAAAAGTATTTTTCCAATTTTAAGACATGTATTTTYGACTAAAAAATTTATTGGAAGTACTTGTCAATTACCGGTAAAAAAAATCTATTTCCTTATTATAACTTACTGTTAAAAATAATAATAATAATAATAATAATAATGGTGGAGGATGCGTTAATGGGTAGTTATTGGGGTTACGTCGAGCAACGTCAAGTGTCATCTGGTTGTTGGGAAGGCGCGCACTATGGATGTTGGCAATTTACGCGCACGGTGGGCGCTTCTCCCTTTCCCCCGTCCCATTAGATTCCATCTCATCCCCAAATCTCAATGCTTCTCCCTCTATACCACTTTTTTTCATTATTTCAAAGAATCTGCCTCCCTGCATGTTGCTTCATCTTTTGACTTCCTCTATTTTCCCTTTTTCAATTTTTTATTTTATTATATTGTGTCTTGTCTTTTCATCTCCATTTTCTTTATATATTCTCTACTCCACAACACACATACACAGATTTCGATTATTGGATCTGATCTACTCTACTCTACTCTACGTACAAAAAGCAAATTATTATTATTATAAATTAAGAATAATTTAACTGAACTCTGGTAGAAATGAGCCAAATCCAAATCGTTATGATTGTAAAAGGGAAAGGGAAACGTGTGTGCATTGTGCAAATGGTTGTGTTAATGGGCTTCTCGGCCCATGTCCCTGGATCAGCATGATATTGGGCCGTTCGGTTTGGTGGAATCTGATTCGCTCTTTCTTTTGGCACGGGCTCTGAACAGAACGAAGCCCACAGCGTGGCCACCGACCGCGGCCAGGAAGATCCCGCCGTTGAACGACATGACGGATAGCATCACCATGTAACTCAACCCCGTGCGCACCGCGTGTATCGCCGTCTGCAGCACCGCCTTCGAGACACTCTCGGCGCTCTGCTTCATGAAGTTGCAGTAAGTGAGCCATTCGACGAGGACGGCCAGAACGAAGACGAAAATCACCGCCAGTGCGTACATGGCCGAGTCCGCACCGGGCCACCCGGTGAACAGGACTTGGGCGTCGTGGCTCCAGTACAGAGACTTATGCACCACCGTCTTCCCGGCATTGTTCGTTTCCGTCGCCGGCGGCGGGACGGTGCCGAGGTTATGACGAGACGTCGCTTTCAGTTTCAGAGTCATACTTCCTTTCCGAAGGATGACTGTTTTAGTTTTAAGCCACACAATTTGGGGTTTTTTAAATCCGGAAACTACAAACAGAGTTACAGAAACGAAGAAAATTACTTTTAGAGCTGTTCTCCATCTCACGCTCCAAGGAAGCGAGTGTGGTTCACGACGTCGTTTGGGGCCGGCTGTGAGAATGCACGTGCGCGTGGGAATGGAGTTGAAACCTAACTCATACAGATTCCATGACTCGCCTTCAAGCGATCCCCCCTGCAAAAAGTTCAAACGGAAATACCACCTTCTTCACTGCTGGAAAGAAAGTTCAACAAATAAACTTAATGTACTCTTAAAATTGTTTTAATCAAAATTGAAGATTTTATTATTTTATCTTACTTTTTAAGCTGGCAAGAGGTTACCGATTTATTTCCGCAAATATATATTTGTTTCCTGTGATTTAGTGTAATCTTCGATGGTGTGTGATTATTATTGTTATTTTATAAATTAATTTGCTGAATTATTTGTACTAAAAAAAGAAAAATCTTCAAAGAGATGCAATCGGCTAAGCAAGCATATCTTAAGCGTCACACATTCTTTTCGTTGTTCCGCTGTTTATGGCAAACGTTCTCTGAATGAGCAACATAATAAAATATATTTTATTGTGTAATAAAGGAAACTGAAAGGACATAGTAGTAATAACATTTTTTTTTTTATTTCAGAGGGTAAAATAAAAGCGGTTTTATTTAATTTTTTAATAGTATGCTTCATCTCTTTCGGCAGTAGGAGTAGGATCGAGAAGTCTTGGGAATTTCAGTGGCCAGAAATCTGGACGACCCTGGGAGAGGCCATTCTGAACCGGTGCTTGGGCACAGTGATTGTCAGTACTCCGTTATTCATTTCCGCCTTCACCTTATCGACATCGGCGCTTTCCGGTAGGCTGATACGCTGGTAGAATTTTCCACTGCTTCGTTCCACACGGCGCCACATGTCGGATTTCTCTTCTTTCTCAGCCCTAATCTCGCCGCTGATGCACAGAACTCCGTTTTCCTCTACCTCCACTTTCACTTCGTGCTTTTTCACCCCGGGAAGCTCTATCCTGAACACGTGCGCATCGGCGGTCTCCTTCCAGTCGATCGGAGCGTTGGCGGCGGAGGATTTTGAGGCCATGGAAGAACGGAACGGTCCTGCAATGGCGTTTTTGTCGTGGACATCATCGTATGAATGCCGATTCTCGACGTAGTAGCGTTCCTTCCGATCCTCAGGGAATGAGCCTGAGCGCCGATTCTCGACGCAGCAGCGTTCCTTCAGATCCTCGTGGAACGAGTGCCCATCGTCGACGTAGTAGCTTTCCTTCCGTTCCCCGGGGAACCTGTCGGATGAGTGCCGATCCTCGCCGTAATAGCGTTCCTTCCGATCGCTAGGAAAAGGGTTGCTGAAACGAATCGACATTTTTAGGAAACGGATAGGGAGAGAAGCACTTATTGCTTGCTTGCAGATGAAGTATGAGAGGGAGTTGAATTTATAGGAGGAGGAAGACGATGATTACAGAGAAATGTCGAAGGTTTTTCCAGATCAGTGCGAACAGATTCCATTGTTGATGGAAGTCGCAATCTATAGATTATTCTGTACAACTTTTTCATGTGACTTCAAAATTAAACTCAATTTCTGAACTTATTCTCTCGTTTGAGGTGACTTCAACGACTCTGTTTAACCTCTGTTCTTTCGCAATGGAATCCGGATCCAGAATAGGTAGATGAAATCCACTGGTTTTGGGAATGGCACCGCGTCGGAGGAAGATTGGACAGAAGGGAATTAAGTTCATGAGATTGTCCGAAAGGAATACAAATTATCCATGCCACTTGCTCGTGGATGCAGAATTGGAAAGAATACCAAATGGGCTCACGCCCATTTGGGATGATGGGCTGTGGATCTTCCCAGCCCAAGCCCATCTAACTTCCTTTTTTTCAGAGGCTATTTTAACTGTATTTGTTGGGTTGTTTTTAGTGGGGGGAAGCTTCTTCGTTGAGAGATTTATGTCAATAATTTTCTTTAACGACATACTAATGTTATATGTATTATGTATATTTACATTAGTGCAGGTGCCATAAAAAGCATTATACGTGTTTGTTGTCAATTATGGTCTTATAATCCAATTCCTAAATTTTCTTTTAGATGAGATATAATCTGCTTAAGAAAAAAAAAAGATATATATTCAATCAAAACGAACATAATTCAATAATTGACATATATTTTCAATCTAAAGGTTGTGAGTTCCGATCCCACAACCTCACATTTGTACTAAAGAAAAATGAGATATAATCAAAATAATCATAATCATATTAAAAAAAATAATGAAAAATGTCAATGAACTATTTACTTTGACAATAACAAAAGTAATTTTAGTTATTTTAAAATAACTCCAAAATACACCCTAACTCCCATTAATCCAAATAATTACATCTAAAACCAGTGGACTATAACTAATACCACTAATAATTTGATTTAATTACCTCATTTCTACGATTTATATCAATGTACCAATCTTAAGAATTGAATTACAAAATTATCTAATCAACTTGAATATAATTATAATTCAACGTTGATGGATATATATCTTGATGGATATATATCTCGAACTTAGAGATTATGAGTTTGTACTAAAATAAAATTGGAATGTAATTTAATTATGGCTCGAAAATAAATCCGTTTCTATCAATACAGACCGAATGACGAAAATGGGGTAAAGTGTTATCCAAAGCGGAGGAAAAAATATAATGGATAAATTGGAATACGACAAATCGTTATCGAAAGCGGGGGAAACAGCTCAGCGAAAGATTCCCGCGAAGCGAGGGAAATGCATTTAAAAATTAAAAAATATATATTTATTAACATTTTTTATATCCATAGTTTGACATTAATGAAATAAAAACAGCCCCCTTGCTGGGTCAATAATTAATTCAATCATTAATTTAGGAGCTTTTTTTTTAATTTAAATTTCTAGTATAATATAATAATAAGCACCTTTTCAGGAATATATATAAATTGGTTCAATCCATTAAATGTTAGAGCATTCTAATGTAGTAATGTAGAATAATAACAATGTGATGAAGATATGTTTCATGACCATAAAAGGCAACATGTGGAAGCAATATTTTTGGAATATTCTGCCTCTATTAGGATTAAAAATTTCACCTACTCTTTATTCTTTTACTAATTTATGTTATTTATATAGCACTGTCTTACCCAAATGTAGTGTAAAACAATAATAAACCTAAAAAAAATCAATAGTAAGCCTATTTTTTAAAAAGGATAAAAAATAATAACATGGTTTAAGATTCTTTAATATAAAGATATGAAATAATTTTAAATATCTAAAATGTATAAAAATGACAATATGATGTCATGAATATGATCAGGTGTAGATAATATATTAATTTTTTAATGTATAAACCATAGGTGAGTTCAGTCGATAAGCACAGTATCTTAATTTTGTAAAAAAAAAAAAAATATATTATCTTTTTTTTTCTTTGACAAACTATTATCTTAAAGTTGAAATGTCTCAATAAAAGGTTGAAATGTTCATCTCTACACCTACCTTCCTTAAACTCATAAAAAAAACCTAAATTAATTTAAAAACACCTAAAATGCCATGGTTATATTTTGAAAAAAAAAATTATGGTAAGAGTGAAAATCTCTAAATATGACCTTATTTTTATGTAGTATAATATGTAAGGGTGGAGATTTAAGTTCACGATATTTTTGCCAGAAATAAGAGTCTTAATCGATTGAGCTAAGTACAAAATGACATAGAAATAACTGTTTTCCATGTTATTTATAGAATTTAAATGATAATTTTAATTTCCAATGATATAAAAATAAAATAAGATGTTGTAACACGATAGAATAAAAAAAATAAAATGTTGTTAACAAAATAAATTTATTTTTAAAAAATTGTAAAAAGTGTAATAGGAAAAACGCATTGAAATCATGAAATGCGTTATAAAAAAAAAGGCATGGAATAAAAAAAAACGCAATTACACAAGGAAGAAATTTGGTGGTGCAATGAAAAACAAGTGCTCGACGGTTTGACCACTTTTTCCTTGTTCTTACCAATCCTGAAACATTCTTTAAAGCGTGAAAATATGGGAGCCTTGTAAAGAAATTGCATGCCAAATTGGACTTCTTTTTTCTTTCTTCTTTTGGAGAAGCACTACTACGTTTATTAAATTCAAAATTGCATGTTTCAATTATACCTTATGTAATAAGTGAGACGTTTTTTCAAAGTCCCAATTAAAATATCAAATAATTTCCGATCATTATTCCACATTTCATTTCTCTCATCGTCTTTCCTCCACAATATATACATTTTTTTTATTATACGTGTCGAGGGCATAATAAAATAATAAAAGTGAACATAATTCAACAATAATTGTCATGTATCACAATCAACAAGTTATGAGTTCAATCATCCACCCCACATATTGTTCTAAAAAAAAGAAGCATAATAAAATAAAGTTTCGTTTTCTTAATACATACATTTAGATTTTATGTTTGTTCCAATTTTTTTTTTATTATGGTGTCTATATTTTTTAGTGTCCGTCTATTTAAATTAGTGTACTCTCAAAAGGAAAACACGAAGATTAAATTTTGTAAAAGTTAGAAGTAAAAAGTCTCACATTTGGGAAGAATAAAAACTAAAATATGGTCTAACTTCTAGACTTTAAAATGAAAATATTTGAAATTATTCGGCCGAGAAAAAAAAACAAGGAAAAAGAAAATCAGAATTTATAAAAGGGAAAAAAGACAAATATTTAGTCCACACGGAAAAAAGCGGACAAAGACATGGGCTTTAATGGGCGAAAGCACCAATTACTACAGAATGAACTCCAGTAACGGAGAGCCGCTGACGTAACAAGTGGGCCCCGTGGGCTTGGGGATTCGCGATAAAGAAATAAGTCGTGTTGTGGGACCCACTAGTTTTCCGAATGATGTGACCGGCGATAGTGGGTAGCCTACTAGCCTAGCCTCGTAGGCCGTGGCTATTTGCTCCGCTTTCCACCGTCTCAACAGAAAACGGTGCGTTTCATCCTCTCTCTCTCTCTCTCTCTCTCTCTCTCCTCTTCTTCTTCAGAAACTTGTCTCTCTCACTTCACTCTCACTCTCACTCTCAGAGAAGGGAGAGTTTTTCTTTATTTTTATTTTAATATATTTATTTTTTCTCTGCAACGGATGACTTTTCGTCCTCATCTCCGGCATCGGGCGGAGCGAAAGAACGGAATCCGAGAAGAATGATTAATTCATTGCCGCCTCAGCTCCTCTCTCTTTCTTTCTTTCTTCACTGCTGCCGCAATTCCTTGCTTTGCTTATAATCTACAACGATTGCAAGATTTTATTCCTTTTTTTGTTTCTTTCTTTCTCCCTCTCACGTTCAGTCGTAATCACGCATCGGATCTTTATCGGGATCGATGAGTTTCGCTTGATTCTGTTACTCTCCTTACGAACCTGCATTTCCTGGATTTCTGAAGGTGTGTCTCTTAATCTTCCATGCTACATTTCGTTTTCTTTTTGATCTATTTTGTTTGGTTTACGAGAAATCGGAGGCCAGACGAACGAGGCAGTTTTGCTTTCTTGTGAGTGCCAGTTTCGTCTTGTGGTTGATTTGATTGAAAATAGCGACATTCGTCATTGCTCTTGTTTTGGCAATGTTTGGTCCCTGACTCTGTAAATTATTTCAGGTTATTTGTCTTTATCCAGGGGAATTGCAGTACTCTTTTTTCTTTTTTCTTTCTTTCTTTCTTTTTTTTTTCCTTTTTGTCATGGACATTTTTGTTTACTTCGGTTTCCGAAGCTGCTAACCGGAGCTTGAAATTAGTAGTTTGTTTATGAGTTTTGTTATGAAATCTTTAGATCTGAGATTTTTCCTGCTTTGACTTCTATTCATGTGCTCGATTTTGTTTAAATCTTGAAGAATAGACAAAAAGGGGTGAATTAGTGCAAATATAACCAAATTTCTTTTGGATTACTATTGGTGGATGAGAGAGTAAGGTATGCGACGACGAAATTACTGATAAAAACAAACTGAGAAATCGAAGTACCAATTACTTCTGGAATAACTTTAACATGCAGTAGAAAGATTTTATTGCGCTTTGTTTCTGAAGTTCGATTGAAGGGAAGAATGTTTAAGAACTGTTGGTGCTATTTGCTTTTGCAGCTGAAATTGTCCGTGAAATAAAGCACGGTTGATCGTCCAGGTCCTTCTGACGTCGTTTAATCATGTACTAGTTTTCAGAACCTGCTGTAGTATGGGATCCAGCTTGGAGCTCAGAAAGAGTTCAAGCCACCAGCATAACTCAAGGATTGGGAAAGAGGGGGTCCTCTTGTCCCAAACAAAACGGAGTCCATGTCCACCAGTACCAGAACAGTTAAAGATGAAAAGTCCTGTTCGACCACGTACTGATTTGTATTGTGTGTCAACAAAGGGGGCCAATATTGCTCGGGAAAAGTCTTCTAGATACTCGCAGGGTAAGAGTGTTAAAGGGAGTCCAATTGGAGAGGACGAACTTGTTAGGCACATGTCAAACTTGCCAGGTTATCTCCTTCGTGTCGAGACAGGAGAAAATCTCCAAGAGAAGGCTTTGAATGTTGGGGTTCTAGACTGGACACGACTTGAGAATTGGAAACACAAGCAGATAGATAGTCCAACCAAATATAAAGATGCACTGTGCGGTGGGAATTATTTATCATTAAAACAGACTTCTGGACTGTCAACTTTCCCTCGTAGTATTCGGAGTGAAACATCAGTTAGATCACACTCTTCACTTCAGTCCGGTTTGATTTCATCACATAAGGAGGAACGTTCTCACTGTGTCACCTCTGCCCGGAGTGCCAGTCACTGCCATGATTCTGATAGTGGTTCAAAGAGTGCAATAAAGGGGCAGCAAAAGATACAAAGGACTGGTACGTCATCCTCGTCAGGGATAAATGATTCAAACGTGATGCATCAAAGAGAAAGAACAAGGCGTTCGAATCGGAGGATGAGTTCAGAAATGGTGAATTTTTCTTCTCATGCAAGACATTCAGGAGTTCTACCTTGTCCTAAAAGAAGTACACATGTATTGGGTGGTAAAACAAACCATAGAACAGAGAAGCTGATTGAAACAGATATCCAGAAAAAGGAAGCAGATGAGAGATTGGTTTTAGAAATAGGAGAGATACCATCAAAGTTGAGTAATGACATATCATATAGTTTGAATGATCGCGTGAATGTTGAAAATAATGAAATGAAGAAGAGAGTAGGGAAACAGTTCTCGGATATTGATCTCCCTCACCATTATTTCACTTATAAGCAAGATGGCAATCTTCTACTAAAGCAGAAGCCGAAGGATTTAGATGAAGGGTTTCAGCCCTTGAATTCCAGAACATCATTTGATGAGAATATGACAGATGTGAATTCGTGTTGTTATTCAGAAATATTTTCTCCAGAGGAGGCTCTATCTKCTGAATGTGGTTCTGAAATTCCATACTCAAGTCCATTGCCTTATTTTGCTGACGCTGATCCCACGATGGGCAGAATGCAAGATTCTCTGGTCAATGATAGTAGTGCAGAACTTTCACGTTCTACATCCCAATTGTCTCCTTACTCAAATCAGAAACATAGTTCGAGACCTTCCGAAGGTAAACAAATAGAAAATGGAACCTCGGATATTAAGCTTAACCATTCCGACCTTGTTGGTACTCTTGAGACTCTGGATGATAAAACCCCAGAGTCAGGAGCTAGAAAAGGTAGGCATCCTTCACCAAATCGCCGTTTGAGCTTCAGCTTAGGACGGATGGGGAGAAGTTTCAGTTTTAAGGAGAGTTCGACCATACCCCAGTTAAGTTCCACACATACTATTCCAAAATCTGGTCCAGTGATTTCTGAAAATACTGCTTCCTCGGATAATTCTGATAGAAAGAAAGTAATTGGACATAACAGAACTAGATCAAGTCCTTTAAGAAGGTTGCTAGAGCCAATAATGAAGCATAAATCCTCAAATCCTCAACATCCTAGTGAAGGAAACGCCAACTCATTAAGCTTTTGGCCAACCGGTCTTGGCAGCGCTCACCAAAAGAAGCATGCTGATTCAACAATGCAAGCCCTTTTACAGTTAACGATAAAGAATGGCTTTCCCTTGTTTAAATTATTGGTGGATAACAACAGAAATATCCTTGCAGCCACAGTGAAAGATTTAACCCCATCTGGGAAGAATGAATCTGGGCATAACTATACATTCTACCTAGTTAATGAAATAAAAAGAAAGACCGGTGGTTGGATACGACCAGGGAATAAGGATAGAAGTTATGGGTATGCTTACAATGTCAYTGGGCAGATGATAGTGAATTCAGATTATAGAACAAATGAACACAACAATGGTGAATATACGTTAAGAGAATCGGTTTTGTTTGGTGTTGACATGAGACCAGGAGATCGAGAATCAGCAATCATAGTGAAAAATAGAGAACTTGCAGCCATTGTTTTAAAGATTCCTATTGAAAACTCGAATCATGGTGCGGGGGAACAGAGTGGTAACGTTTTGACAGAGGACTGCATGAAATCTTTGTCAGAGGATAATGCTGTAGTAATACTTCCGGGTGCTGTTCATGGGTCACCAAGCAGCGGAGAACCTTCGCCGTTGATCAATAGGTGGAGATCCGGCGGAGTTTGTGACTGCGGTGGTTGGGATGTTGGTTGCAAACTGCGCATCCTTTCCATTCCGAAGAAACTAATTACTTCCAAGGCGTTTCCTATCTCCAATTGCCTAGAACTTTTTGTTCAGGTAAAACTTCAAATTTTATCGTAAACCCTTAATTGATTTCGTCATTTTCATCAATTAATATCCTGGCTCTCCACTTTGTTTCAGGGWGGACAACAAAATAAGCCCATCTTCAGCTTGGCGCCCTTGAAGGGTGGGTTCTTTGAAGTTCGTTTCGATTCATCAATCTCTATGTTACAGGCGTTTTTCATATGCGTTGCAGTTTTAAATGGCCAGAAAGCATCAGATCCCTCAGAAGCAAGTAAATTTGCACCTGAGGAAAAAGTGATCAAGTATCCAGATTCTAAAGCAGTACGTGAAAAACAGCTTGCTAGTATTAGATATGCCCCAAACCCACCCCTCTCTCCCGTTGGAAGGGTATAATCTCTAGTTTCTTGTTCTTATCGAGCAACCGACGATCTTCCATTGCAGCAGAGCAGCATATTGTCTCTCCTTTACTGCTCATCATCCGTTCAGAATCGACCCATCGTCCTCCTTTTCCGTTCTGAACAGTCTTTTATGCTTTTAGACAAGTATGGCCAAGTAAYTTTGTTCTGGYTGTACCACCATACCAGCGCCATCCATGTATAAAGAAAATAAACTCTGAGCAATATATAGAATGGAGAAATTAAACAATGTTCTATGACTTTCGTTTCTTGTATCTGATCCTTGGAGGGGGGAATCTAGAGTCCCTCTTCATTTTTTTTTTTTTTGTTTTTGCGAGTTGTCAAAACCAAAAACAAAATGCCTCTATCAGAAACCAAATTGCCTTCGTTAGGGAACAAAGTTACATAGAAATTATCTTACGTATTTTTGTTGAGATAGGAACCGAAATATGTTTAGGCATTGGTAAGTGGATTGATCATTAATTATGAAAAGCGCAACGGAATAACAAACCCCAAACTTCATGTAGAGACAGAAATCTTCTTTGAATAAAACGAGAGGTTTGGCAATAATTGATTACAAATCTATAGGTGAGGCATGGTGAATACAGATGAACCATTGACCATTAATTCTCTCAAACACGTTGGTAACAAACTGTCCCCCCCAACTGCTACCTTTCGTCTTCACCAATTCCACACATGTAACATAACCCACATCCCCTTTGGCATGAACTTGAATTTCCTTAAGTTGAATCTCTAGTGGGAACTCATAGTTTGCCCATACATACTCCCAGCTGATCATGACATCGTCATACCCAGATATCCCCCTCGCGCCCGGGTGCACGCAGCACACACTATCTCCTCGTGCCCAGAGAGCTTGCATGGCAGCAAGATCACCGGTCCGAAACGCTTCGTAAAACTTGGCATTGGCTGCCAGTACTGAAGATTTGCTATCCTCTTGAAGAGCTTTCAAGGTATCTCTGATTTGTGCAGCTCTGGCGTAGTCTTCATCTGCAATGGCATTTTGYAGGTCCTGCTCCAAAGTTTCTGCATCGAGTGTAGTGCTTTCGCCACTCGAGTTCTCGCCTTTCAGTTGGCAAGGTCGAAATGATAGCATCCTAGAAGTCTGTTTGCAGGGCCCTGCACTAGATATTAACAAAATGCTGATTTACTAAAGAAATTGGAAGCAAAGTGAAATTATACGTAACTCTGTGTATATCTGTATCTATCTATCCATATTTATATTAACATCCATTATTCCATTGCACTGGCTAGAAAGTTCAGATTTCATAAAAGTAATAAAAGCTCAAACAAATTTAGTCAAACGCTCATGAAAATTGAAGAAATTAAGGAAAAACTTACTGAAATTTCCATTCCATGAACTGACGTGACGAAGACTAGAGGGAAAACGAAATCCGCATCCTCCTCTAGACGCTCTAACCAAGCCAATATCATAACTATGGGAACGGCGCACGCTCGTCCGGTTGCCGATAAGGGTAACATAACCCTGCAAAATTACAATATCACTGAAATACTTCAAAATTGACGTCCAGATAAAGAAGCTTATCTAAGAAAAATTAAACCGGGAAACAATTTACGACAATGAAGAACGCATATCAATCCATAACAGCAACTAATCCACTGGTCATAGCAGTAGTGAAAAAGATACGAAGAGAACAACAAAGTAAATTGATAGGAGCGGCATCAGAGAATCAAAGAAGAGAAGCACTGCTCACATTGCAGCACAAATTAGATGTATGGAGCGCCATGGTCGATGGAATTTGCAGCTTAACCAGGGTTATTAGTTGCTGAGAACTGCTTTAAAGCAAGAGATGGGAGAGATCAGCTTACGAAGAGTGTCAGGCTCTGAAATTAGGGCTTTTTTGCTCTCTTCAAAGAGCTCAACGACGATAAGCTCGGATGCTGTAAGAGGAAGAGGAGAGATGAAGAGGGTAGCTGGAGGATTCAGAAAAGAGAAGATGGGCTTAATTATGATAGGCCCATAACGTTACAACTTGGGCTTTCTGGTATTCAATTATACTGGCCCGAGCACTGCCATCTGGTGGGCCTTTTCTTGGGCTTATAGTTAACAAACCGTCTTTCTGTAATAGAGGATGGATTTATATACATTATGTTACCAAAAATAAAAAATAACAATCTAAGAACTGCAAAAATTTACAAAAATAGCTGACCTGATTTGATTTTTTTTGAAAAATATTCTAATCCATAGGTATGGTAGATAATTAAGATCAATTTTTTTTAAAGAAAAAAAAATACTATTATTAGCTGAAAGAATCCAATGGCAATGGCAATTGGCAAAGATGATTCATTCTTGAAATATTTTACAATTTTATTGGTAGGGAATTACGAATGATAATTTATAAAATAAGTGTTGAGATATTAAAGTATTTAAAATTTTAGATTAAAATTTAACGAAGAATGACATTTATTTTATTTCAATAACAAAGATAATTCCTTGGGGCATATTCTTTGATGCTACCTCAAATTGAAAATTTCTAAAAAAATAAAATCTGTTTTTTAAGATAAAGTAAGAAATTAATATATAATATTACAAAATGTGGATAAACCAAGTTGAGATGACATTGTAGTTATAAAGTTATTGCCCGTTCTCATCAACATTTATTTGTTTTTTGAACTATGGAAAACCTTTATTTATTTATTTATTTATTTATTCATTCATTCATTTTTATTTCCACATTTACCCCACCAATTATTAGTCAATACCAATAATCTTATTAATATGGAATATTAAAGTTTTTTCCTTCTCCATTAGAACAAGAAATTGCTAGTATATAAACCTCAAATGGATAGATATTAGTGGTATTTACATAAACAACATAAAATACCTATTTAATTTTCCAAAATAGCATAAGTTTGAAATTTTACAAAAAAAACATTATCTAGATTAAAATCAAACTCAAATGTGGTGTAAAATGCCTTTTAAAAAGTCTAATTTACTTCATATAAAAAAGATTGTGGCATTTACAAAATATATATATATATATATATATATATATATATATATATATATATATATATATATATATATTAAGATGAAATTTGTCTAAATATATTATAATATTTATCAACATGTCTCCATCAATTTGTTAAATTGTTTGTAGTACAAAATGTATGGATGTGACTACCAACTAATAAGAGGGACAATGATATAGTATTGGCTCTTAGTGTTCTTCGATGGATGGCTGAAATAACTTCCAATGGGGTCGTTAAAAAATGGAAAAAAATCCATTTGGATCAAATTATGGTAGGAGAATAAATTGATTAGATTGGAAAAAAAAATGTAATAATTAAATAAATTTTTTCCTTTAAAGATTATTAAAAATAAAAGTATAATTTTTTCAAAACGGGTTGTTTAGCTCAAAGAAACTGATAAAAATAATTTCTACCATGGAATGATAATCGATATATTGTCCATTTTGAAGTTGGATTTTCATGTACTTATTTTTAATTTTACTTAAAAATGTTTTGTAGTTGTCCCCTTCCTATGTACCTATAAATATTATTTTTCTGAATTAATGTGAGATTTTGAATACATTTTCAACAAACTTCTTTCCTCTATCTCTATTTCCATCGGTAAGATGGGACCTATCGAAAAACTAAAGAAATTTTTTCAGATAAAAATTTTGGGTTTTGTATAGAATAATGTAAAATGACCTTTTCAAAAAAAAGATTCGAATTAAATGGTTATAAGTGTACATTTCTTTTATTTGTTTACATGATTACTATTATTTTTAACTTTAAAACACCCAAAATGAAAAGGGGAGGATGAAATCATGAACCAAAAGAGTCCACAAACGGCCAAACCCATGAATTAGCCCGTCGAGGCTTGAAATAGAGAGGGCCTAGCTGTGAATTGGTCCCTTTGCCAAAATTTGAATTTTGAAAGGCAAAGCAAAAAGGGAACTTGAACTAAAAAATGGGACCCCCCCTCCAAACCCAAATCCAGAACCAGAACTTACCAAACAAATAAATAGACCAAACAGAGGGTGTGGATGAAAATTGAACAAATCATATTCATTCTTGAATGGGTTTGGTTGTATTAATTAATTGGTTGGTGCCATGGCAAAAAGAGAATCGAAGTTGCTGCACTCTTTTTCTTTTTAACAGAGTAACCTTGGCTTTTAACTTTAACTTGGTGGTATCTTGCTTGTCTTAGAATCGTGGTTTGAGTTCAGTTGGTTTTGGTTTTGGTGTTCAGATTCCTCAGCCTGGTGTTTTGTGTCAGCMCTCATTTTGTTGTTCATACAAATTTCAGAATCCCAGAGGCTCTATTCTTTTAATAGTACTATTCCCCTCCCTTTTCTCTACGATTTGTCATCCCTTGGCCTTTACAAATATAACAAAATTCCTTTGTCTTCTTCTTGCCATAATCTGTGACTGTGATGGTGTCCTATTTGTTGACTCTATATCATTAAAACATGAGAATAATTTGAGGATTCAAAGACAGAGCTGGGTTGGAGATGGAGCAACCAACTAATATTTGTTTGTTTATTTAGTAAAAGAGAATCATGGCCATGATCTCATCGCATTTACACGCTGGCTGAAGGGTTTCGTGGGGTCCAAATTTCAAATTCCAAACCCCATTTCTGATTTCCCAATTCCATGAAACATGAAATGCCTTGGCGTGGATTTGACCCCCTCTTCTTTTCTTTGCTTTTCCAACCCTCTCCTAACTCATATTCTTTTACCATTAGGGATTTCTTTTTAGAAGGAAAAAAAGATCATTGGGTTTCCAACGTACAATTCTTTAAACGAATTAGTACATATATCGTAATCATTCAACTATATCCATGTTGATAGAGTGTGTTAAGGCTTTAAGCCCTATTTCATGTATTGGGGTGTCGAGATGCAAGTTTTATGTCAGTCAAAAGGGAGAGGAATAGCCACCCGAGAACATTTTCTTACTTAACAAGAAGAAATGATGATATTTCAACTTAAGACAACTAATATCATGCCCTTGTATCTAAGAATGTAGAAGTTAATTGTCATGACATTTTGTTTCTATCTATTTTTTAGATCAAAACTTTAAGAGAGATATTAATATATGCTTTTTACTCTTGATTATTGTTCTCAATTTCAACTCTCATTAATTTTTTTTTATATTTCAATTAGTTGACATGTTTTAACAAAAAAAAAATGCATGACAAAATAATTCCTTTAAAAAATGTATGGGCGACTACTAGAATTGATGTTTTTTTTAGTACAACATGTAGGGATAGAGATTATCGAACTTACCTCTTGATTGGAATATATGTTAATTACATGTTCGAGGATCCACAACGACAACATGCTTCGATATTTTGGTTACAGTAAYGTGAGTATAACATGTGAGGGTGGAGGATCAAACTCACAACCTYTTAATTGGAGATATATGTCTATTACCGCTGAGCTATTGCTCGCTTTCACTGCAAGATTCAATTATGCAATTTTTCATGTTCACATAAAGAATATAATGGAGATATGCATCATCCACATATTTTACTTTAATTTTGTTTTTGCTTTTTCTATTCCAAAGTCAAGCAAGATATTCAATCAAATGAAAACAATATTGTATGCATCATCCACATATTTTACTTTAATTTTGTTTTTGCTTTTTCTATTCCAAGTCAAGCAAGATATTTAATCAAATGAAAACAATATTCCCTAAACAAATATGCCATTGTTAAAACAATCACTCCATCAAATGTGGATTACTGGGGTTTCATCAAACAGTGAGATATTTTTGGGAAAATTAAAAAGAAAAAAATTGTTATACTCATTATTTTACACAAACTTTTTAGAATAAAATAATAATTTAGAAATTGAGTGTTTGAAACTCGAGGCATTGATTTTCTCAATACAACGCATTGCAGGCCAGCAGCAGCAGGAGGGCACGATGGATTCAAAGCCTCTCTTATTCCCAAATTAAAAATTAAAAAAATTAAAAAGGGAACTTTGTATTTGAGGTATTTTATTACTTTTAAATATAAGCATAATATCATTTATTCCTTCCACATTTTTTTTAGTATATTATAATTTATACACATATATACAGTAAGTGTTTTTCAGATTAAAATTATGTATAGTATAAGTACTTGGTTTTAGTTCAAATATGGTATTATTTCTAAAGTTTTTATATTGGTACATTCATTATTTGTTATAAAAAATTAGGTTATAAATTAACCGTAAAAAAGTCATGAATTTTTTAATTATTGATTTATATTAATAAATAACTAATACTTCTTGACATTAGAGATGACAATATAAACATAYATTACTCACATAAAAATTGAGAAAGAAGATAGAATATTAAAATAACTTTTTATAGAAAATTTTGAACATTTAAAATCATATATGTTATAGGAAAATAAAAAGGAAGGAATTTTTTTCACTACATATTCTAACAACAAATATTAATGTATAAAAATAGGTTGTGAGTTTGATCCCACCCTTACTTGTATTAAAAAAAAAAGAATTAAATAGTATTTTAAAATGTAACTCAAACTGAAACATAGTTGAATTTGTTAAGACATTTATTTTTTTAATTAAAAGTGGGTGAATTCGAATTTCTACCTCCACATGATTTACTGAAAAGAAAAAAGAGAAACTAATAATATTAATATTAATAAGATGTTAAAAATCTGAAAATGCCTATAAACATTTTTTTTTGAGTATAACATGTGAGATGAGGTTTGAAATCACGASCTTTGATAATTACACTTATTTATTTCTTTATAATCTACTTTTTTAATAATATTTTATAAATAGTTATAAAATTCAAAATGTTTTAAATAGTAAAAAAAAATAGATTCAGAGTAATTAAGCCAATAAAATTCAAAAAATAGAAAACTAAAATCGAATAATGGACTTTAGAGAAGAATTTTGAGTTATAAAAAATGCTTAGATTTTGGTTGAAAGTTGTCAACTTTGAACATTTATTCAATGATCAATCTCGTACATGGACTCCCGCTTAATTTTGTGAAAAACTCTATTTTAGTTGAAATGAGTAAGTTTTAAAATATTTTTGTTAAAAAAAAATATTTATCTAGATCTAAAGTTAATTATAAAGTTTAGAAATGGTGTCACGTTGGATATGACACCAAAAGTAATTAACTTCCTTTCTCAAAAGACTGAAACTTTGGGAGAATATATGCCTTCTATTTATTAGGACTAATTTTTTTAAGAAGCTTTTGACATGAATAAAAATATAAGAAAATAATTTGAAGAAGTTCCGGTGGCGTAAATTTAGGTTATAATTTTTGGGTTTGAAGTTTGAGGCACAGGGCAGGGCAGGGCAGGGGCAGGCCACATCGTGGGTTATTATTTAATATTGAGGCGGAAAATGAGATGTAGTGGTAGTGGAAGGCGAAGGAAGAGGGTCAGAGGCAAAATCAAAACGGCAAATCTTTCATATTCTCCTTTGTTTTTGTAGTAAGAAGCAGCCTTTCCTTACCGTCTTCCCTTTTCTCAACTGCCTTTCTCCTTTTCTTCGATCAATTTCGTCTCTTTTTCCATTCCACCCACTACCTTCGACCCACATACAGAATCCCAAGCGGGTTCTTTCGTTTGTTTCAAATCTCTTCCTACTTCATCTTATCACTCCTCGCTTACCCTTTTGATTTTCGCTCACTTGGGTCTAGATTGAACTAGATCTTCCTGTTTCAATCTGGGTTTTGTTSTTATTTGCTTCGAGGCGCTCCGAGGCGGCATTCGGTTTTGATTTTGCCTCATTTTGACCGGAGCTTTGGGGGGTCTGATTTGATTTTGATTTTTTTTGGAGGGATTCTTTTAATACCCAGCTTTGGTTGGGATTTTGATTCTGGGGATTGTTTGACGGGATTTTGAAGTTGGATTTTCTTCGTGATGAGCGATGYTGACCTTCAGAGTTTGGCTTTGAAGTAATATGGAAGTGGTTGTTACGCGCATTCAAAATGAATCTTTACATTGGTCGCGAAGCGTCAAAGGTTGGTTTCCTTATTTCAAAACTTCAAAAATTGTCTTGCCTCTGTAGGGGCTTCCGAAATGATCGTTTCTTCTGTTTTCCTCTTTCGTTTTTCACGGTGAGAAGCTTTGGAAAAGATTCTGCGCAGAGGTTAGTACGGAGATCAACCTTCTCATCGAGAATTGGAAGTACCTTCTTGGTGGACTAATTTTTCAGGTATTTGTTTCAATCTATTCCTATGAATCATCTTCGCAGTAAAGGATTTTTACTTTTTTTTTTTATTATTATTTTCCTCTCTTTTAAAAAATGCTGGTCGGCTTGTTTGTGGGCCCTCGCCCACTCATCTTCTTCCCAATGGAAAGTTTGTTCGCAAAAGTAAATTTTAAAAGAGTTAGGAAGAAACCAGATCCTCTATATGATTGTGAATTTCTGGAGAGGTTGGCTTGGTTTAGCCACCCATTCTCTTCTCTGTTTGAATTGATTTTGCCCTTTGATGAATGTACACGTATTGTTTCTGATGTAATGGAGCATCGGAACTGGTAAAGTTTGAATACGTAATTTGCCACACCTTTTAATTTTCAATAAAGTTCCCATCAACGTATGCGCCGAGTTAATTCAAAGTAGAGGTGACGACTGATTTTTTATCGTCCTTTTCTAATATAACTTTTTWATCAGTGGTTTAAGTATACCTTTTAATGCAAAATGCTAGTCGTTTTATGCAACCCTGAAAGCTTTATGGTATCTTTTTTCTGTTTGGAGGTAGAATTAGCCTGTACTTTTCCATTGTTCATAATTCTAGGTAATGTCCATTCAACTACTGGTTTAGGTTTGGTTTTAGCTTCTCCTTGTTGCAACTTAGAAGATACATTTTTCTAATTCTAGGATTTTGATATCTCTGAATTGTCTCAGTATATGAAGTTATCTGTTCTATTCTTTTGTCATTTTGTCTTCTCAAATTATTTAATGTGTACCTTATTTATTCTCATCAGTACATACATGGAGTTGCAGCTCGAGGAGTCCATTACATACATCGGCCGGGTCCAATTCTTCAGGATGTCGGTTTCTTCCTTCTCCCTGTGAGTATTGATCTTTCTCATCCTTACGTTTTCCCATCTTTTGTTTTGTTTTATTATTGTTTAAGTATGCCAGTTTTGATATGTAGGAGTTGGGACAGGACAAAGCTTACCTCAGTGAGACTCTTTTCACCTTCATATTTTTAACCTTTGTTGCGGTAATTGACATCTTGGTCTTGTCTTTCTATTGTAATTCCCTTGTTACAAGTACAACCCTTGCATTGCTTACATTGAAATATCTTTTTATCTTTTCTGATTGATTGTGATGAACGTCCTTAGGAGTTCTAATATTTGTATCAATGCAATCAGGAATCAATTTTTCCTGTCAAAATACTCTAGCTGCTGAAAATAACTTTGGATGGATTGTTTTTGACAATATGATTGAAAATTGAATTTTACTTTCTCAGATTCTGTTAGTGGATAGCCCTTTTTGTGCTCCGTTTTAAATATGATTTCTTGGACAATTTAGTTGTCTGATCACTCTGAGTCAATGGTTCATGAGAATGTTCTTATGTTCTCTTCATATCAGCAAGACATCATTATATCAAGCTCTTGAAGCAGCTAGGCGAAGAAATAATTAATCACTTCTTTTTGTTGTACTAAATGCGTCTGTTTAAATGGCTTTCCTTCTTTTTAGAAGATCTTCTCATCCGTATAATAAAATTGTTTGTTAACGTATAGAGTTCATTATTTTTGTTCTGATTCTGTGTTATGGTTAAATTTTATGATTACTCCCCCACCCATTTTGAATGACTCTTTTTTCCTATTATTTGTAGTTATATGTGTACTAATGGATTCTTTTTTCTTAATACTTGCAGTGGTCTTTCCACCCTTTTATTCTCAAGAGTAAAAAGATCTATACAGTTCTCTTATGGTGCAGGGTTCTAGCATTTTTAGTTGTGAGTATTCATTTATTTATCATAGCCTAATCTGTTATTTGATGCACTCTCGTCATGGTTTTTCCCAATTTGGATCTTTTGTTAAGAAACGTTAAAAGAGCTTTTTCATCCCCTAATTCAGTAATTGAATCTGTTTTGGCCAGGCTTGTCAAATTCTTCGTATTGTCACATTCTATTCTACACAGCTGCCTGGCCCAAACTATCATTGTCGTGAGGTATACTCCAAAATTTTTTGTATGCCATATGGGTTTGYTTTCTCTGCGCATGACATACTCTTCGTTTTTTCCTTGCGTAATGGACTATTTTCCCTTTTAAGATGCATAACTCCTAAAGCTTCACTCTAACTTCAATGATTGTTTTAATGGGATAATTGACAACGTCTGGCTGGATTAATGCAGGGTTCAAGACTTGCCACATTGCCTCCTCCAGAGAATGCCTATGAAGTTCTATTGATGAATTGTAAGGATCTTTACTGTCTATAAAGCCCTTCTGCTTATAGTCAATAGTATTCCCCTTTGGTTTTGCATTTTTTTCCCTTGAATCCAATTGTTTTATGGAATGCTGGTTCGATGCAGTTAGAGGTGTATTATACGGATGTGGTGATTTGATTTTTTCATCACACATGATCTTCACTCTAGTTTTTGTGCGGAGTTATCAGAAATATGGCTCACAAAGGTATTTTTATCGGCACCCTGTGAACTTAGTTGGCATCTGAACCAGTAGATTGCCTATGCATAGCTTGTAACGTTGCACGTAGACCAATTATTTTTGCTCATCACTACAGGTTTATAAAGCAATTGTCATGGTTGTTTGCTGTGACTCAGAGTTTGTTGATTATAGCATCCCGAAAGCATTACACGGTAGACGTTGTGGTTGCATGGTAAGACGAATAGGTTCTTGTTCTGATCTTTCCTCACCTCGAAATATTTTCTTATTTTTAACACAAACCGATCGATTCTCTGTAGGTATACTGTTAATTTGGTGGTCTTTTTCGTGGATAAGAAACTTCCAGGTTAGTTTTTGTTATCAATGCTCCATTGAGYGTTCTGATTCGGCATCTGGTAGAAAGTTTAATCTTATGTTACTATATCAATGCTCTCTTTTCGCAGAGTTGCCTGACCGAACAAATGGAGCTGCATCTTTGTTATTACCATTGAGCACGAAAGACAGAGATACCAAGACCCGAGATGAGAGTCACAAGCTCTTGAATGGGAATTCTGTAGACCCCACTGATAGGGTATGGTGAATAGCTTTTTCCTTTTGGAAGGGAGTACTCTTCTTCATCTGACTCTTGTTCTTTCTTTGTTCAGAGACAGAGGACTCAAGTAAATGGCAAGATTCCCGAAGATGGGAACGCAGTCCATGTTAATACCACGATGAATGGCGGAGCGTAGCACAAGAAACAGAGCTGCTGCTTGGAGGAGGATTGTTGTTTATTTCTTACAATGTAGAGTAATGGCTTTCCTTGCGCGTATGRTTGGCTTCTTTTCCCAAGACTGGTAATCTGTTATATATCTTATTGGGAAATGCAGTATTTTAGATTTACTTTCTTTTTCTTTAATTTCTTCTTCTGAAAGTTGCCGTTTACATTTGGCAATCATTTAGGAAGGAAGGAAGGAAGAGGAGTGGGAATGATCCTCTTCTCTTAGTTGGATCAAGGAATTAACGTCCCCCTAACCTAGTTTATTGGTTTAGGTCTCATTTTGAGTTTATTTTTTCACTTAGTTTTCTGGAAAAATTCTAATGATGAAGTCGTCGAAATCGACACCATTTATAGATTACTGATTGTTGACTTGTGACTTGGGAGAGTTGTGGAGGGATTGTCATTGCTATTTTTTTAAGGTAGAAGGAGAACTTGGGAAAGCAATCTATCAAATCTGATTTGCTTTGAAATGGGGAATTAGATGTGAATGCATATGGAAGCACATGACATTGCCTTATCAAAATTAAAATAATTCCCAAGTCAACTACGCAATTCTAGCTCATTACTTTCCTTTCGTTTTTCTCCATTGTATTCTCATTTGAATTGTTTTTAATGGCCTAATGTTTTGATACATAATGAAAGAGATGAAAGATTAGACCTCTTTTTTCCCCTTCTAAAGTCATTGTCAATGACATTTCTCATGAAAGCCATTTCAACATGATTACACGAATGATGAAAAAATTCCGAAAGAGGCAAAAAGAGCCACATCTCTGACTCTATCTCGATTGCAAAATTAATCTCTGATTTCTCACTAGCAAACGAAAATGATCTTAATTCTGAACCTTCTTCCATCTTATTTTACGTCACCAAAAATCAAAGTCACACCATGTGCATGATTGAAAGAAGGACAAGTGTAGATTGGATTCATCAAAATCGAGGTCTCCCAAGTTTTTGATTTTGTGGATGGAAGTTGGAAAGGGACATCTTTCTCTGAACAAGAACAGTRTCGATAACACAAAGATGTTGCAAATAAAGCCACTTTAATGGTACTGTTTCGTAGCTATCGAAGTTCCAAGAAAAGGRCAGCCCTCCACGGCACTGTTTGATGAGTTTTCCTGACAGATTCTTGTTTGCACTTGACAACAGAGAGGTCCCATTTACATGTACGCCTCGTCTTCCCCAACACCAGGACACTTGTTTCTGTTCTGGTCCACTGGAGAATTGCCTGCTCTTCATTTATGGAGACGAAGAAAAACCTCTTAAATTCCAAGGTAAAAACAAATGGAGATTGGTCACTTTATCATTTTGAATGACTTCTTTTACTGTGAAAATGGGACCTCGATTAATTGACATAATCAACGCTCACCAACCAAATACTTTCGCAAGATATCATTCAGAGGAAAAATATTGAAAACCCAGAATAAGAATAAAGAAACATAATACTATTACTCATTGGAATACTCAGAATCATCAATGTTCTTGACTGAACTGAATTCCTAYATAACTTGGAATTGAATGGAATGGAACTGGAAGTGAAGGGGAAATACTTTTTGAGGGGAATGTTGGGATAGGTACATGTGTGTGAGATGATAATTGATATGAAGTTATGGACACTCTGTAGGCAACTCTCTGGAGTCTTTTGCAGCAGCAAAATCTGCAAGCTCGTTGGTCGGATTTCCCTGTTTCGATATTATGATATTACTCTCTTTTGGAGGATATGTCTATGAAGGCACGTTGAAGTGGAATAGCCATGATATAACGAAAGCAAATACCATACAAGCAAGAAGAAAATTCAGAAACCGGTGGCCACGCCAGAAGCTTTGGCTGTCTGATGAAGGAATTGATGCAGCAACTGCAGCTGTCGAGGACGCGTTGTTGGATTCAGTAGATTGCTCTGTCAACTCAACCTCATGTGGTCCGAGAATGTTTCGTGCAATGGAATGACATATCTCACACGTCCTAATAAGATTCAAGAGGATTAGGAATAAATAAAGTAGCCAAAGGAACAAATATGCAAAATGCCCTGTTCCATCCTCAAACATCAACCAGAAATTAAAGAAAGATCAACACAACAAGCACAACGTGTAAATCTATTTTGATTCGAACTCCTAATAAGCAATTGATTGAAGATTGTACAATCTCCCAAGTTCAGAATATATGTCAAGGAACGATACTTAGGRACCTTTTGCTGAGTCGAGTCAAGACATTTATCGATGAAATGTAGAGCCAAGTCCAAGAACAGATCTACTGTTCATTTCTCAGTGATTAACAAACCAACCACCCTTAAGATCAAGTTGACATATTCTATTCATTATTGATATTGAAAAGTAATCTTAAGATCAAGTGAAGTATTGATCATCTTGCTTCCACAACAAGTGCATAACCTCATCCTTGCATTTTTACAGCTTTACTGATACATGCATAGCTTTCTTTGGCTATACTACATATATAACACCAAATATACGTAATTCGACAGACACCAAAACATTATTTTCTCAGAATCTAATAAGTATGACAGAATTAAGGTTATTGACAGAATTAAGGTTATAGAGCAGCTCAGTGCAGAGAAACTTCAACGAGTTAATTGGATTTGGATCAAGTCAAGCTAATTGGAAGAAATACAATTGCAACAGTAAGGAGAGTTAGATCAAGGGTATGAATCAGCTTGATGAGAAATAAATTTGATGATTCCATCCATTAGAAGTGTACTGAAACAAAGTTCCATGTTCAATATGCTTACTAGATGGAAACAACAGCTGGGTAGCACAAGAAGTACTGCCATTTGGATATGTTGGTTCATGAGAATAAGAGATAATTGTGACCAAACAAGTTGGGTAAACTGCAAATTAGGCATATGAACACAGAAAACTAGATATCTTAAAGTGATCAGCTGAGAGATTTATAACCTTTCCCCACTTCAACTGAATTATGGACCAGAATAGCAATGGACTATCCACTTTTGGGAGGGCAGAGAGAGAGATTCTCAGAAAAGGGACAAGGAAGAAGGAATAATAAGTGTAACTTGCTTGGAGATATATATATGCTCTTTCTTATGCTTTACTCTTATTTCTTTTTGTACATCTAAGGTTTCCCTCTAAGTAAGCATCCTTAAGTCTGCAACCTCAAAAGCTCATTACGCTAAGGAATTTGCCTTAAAGCTTAAAAGAGGTCAAGGTTACCAAATTCATCTCTCTTCCATTCAAATTTCTGAATAGTCCAACCCATGAGGATATCGCAGACAGAAGATGATTATCACAAGAACAGACCAAAGTACAGCAGCAAGAAAATAAGAACTCAAAGAACTATCAAGGCATAACATGAGTGAAAAACGATCAGAGTCCATGGAAAAATCATCAAACTTACTAATGAAAACAGGGATTAGACTCACTTATTTCCTCTGATTTTAAACCAGGTTTCAGCACAATGCTTGTGAGCAGCAGCCAAATCATCCTTGCATGAACAGCCCAATTCGATTGGGATTCCAGACTCCTGGCTATTACTCTCCAAACCCAAATGACAAATCCTGCAATCTCTCTCTACTTTAGCCAAATGCACCTTAATTTCAGTAATCCCATTTTCATTCTCAACCTCCACCGAACGATCGGAAACCGATGAAACTCGCCGGGAATCCGAAACGACCCCAACCTCCGGCTGAGCGACGAAAGCAAACCTATACTCATCGTAGGAACCACCGTTGGTCGAAAAGAACTGAGAATAGCACGAACCCTCGTCGGCGTCGGAGAAGTAGACGCTACAATCGGCGCTCACGTCACTACCGCTGACGGACCGGCGATGATTCCCCTGCTCCAAATCAATGTCGGACTGGGACACTTCAGGAGTCGGCATTCTCACAACCCAGAAGCTGAAACTCTTCGCAATTTACGAAGAAATTGGGCATTTAAAGAAGTGGRTATTGGATTCGGTAACCTTTCAACTCCATTGGTTAAAGCTTTTGCAATATAGAATTGATACAACTTTAAAGAACGAAGAGGAAGTTACAACACAATTCATGGTTCTGTTAGAGAAAGAGAAAGGGGATTTGGTAAAGAGGGAAAACAATGGTCCGGCAGACACAGGTCTGTGCTATGTTGCAAAGAAGAACACAAACGTGCAATGGGTCGCCAGAGAATACAGAGGAAATTACTGGGAAGAAAAAGAAACGAGGTGGGGGTGCGGGGGAATCACAAATTACCACTTACCAACAAAAAAAAAAATTTGAAAAGAGAAAAAGAAAAAGAAAAAGGTTCTGGAAGATCTGTTAGCTACATACACTACACATTTACACTAGAATCTATATTCTCAGTTGATTCGATACGTTTGATGACATTCTTCGGTGCAAAGTGCAAACCCTTGCATTTTCAATTTCATCAAACATGTTGATAGTGAGGAATGGATCAGAAAKTGACTCCTTACGAATTTCTTAATTTTGTTTGTTTTTTTTGTCGCTATCAAATTATCCTCATCCGGTCTTTATTGTTAAACTATATTGTACGAATAATTATGTGTTAGTTCAATGTTCATTACATTACAACATTTTTTCTCTCTCTCTCTCTCTCTCTCTTTTTTGGAACGAAGTTATATAATCAATTAAAGTTGAGAAAATGGATAACTTAATGAGGAAGCTGCAATTTCGATGTGGAAAGTAACAAAGGCTGTGTGTATTATTTATTTTTATTTAATTTTGTAACCCAACCCGAAGACAAAGGCGAAGGCGAAGGCGAAGGCAAAGCAAAGGCAATTCTTCTCTGCTTTGCGGCCTTACCAAAACTCCTTTTTCTCTTTATTTGATTCCGTCAATCATACATTGACTCGGTCCCTGCCGATTCACGATCAGACACCACACTCCACAGTGATGCTGCCACGTGTCCTAATAACAAAATTATAAAAGGAGTATAATATCATATCCCATCATGGAGAACGAAGAGACAAGRGACTCTTTGTCTTAACGAATAATTAACTTGAACATAGCTTAATTCATTAAATATATATTATCAACTAAATGATTGGAGACTTGAATCCGGTTTAAAAAAAAAAAGTATATAGTCAAATAAAAATTTGTGGAGGAATTCTTAGATGGCAATAAAAAATGATGAGTTTTTTATGTTAATAATGTTAGTTATTCACTTGAAGCGATTCGATTATTGAGGAAATAGGATATTGACCTTTGAGGGCTTTACATAGAAACTCTAATAGTAGAAGGTCAAATTATTTCCTTTGATCATATTGTGAGTGAGCACGAAGAAGTTCGGATCTCCAGTTGAGCAAAGAGTGGGATGTGTGTTTTTAATTGTGGTAGTAGAGTCTCAAAGACTTTATCCCGTTATTAATTTTGTTTAAGTTATGTTTTTCTATTAAAAAAGAAACTGTATTATCCATGATTAAAAGTTTAAAAATGTTGAGGGAAAATTGAATAGATTTTTGTTTGATGAGAGATTTATTAAGAAAGCAATAAAGAAAAGTTGGTGTCAACTATTACACTATGTGATCTTTAGTTAGACTCGGTCAAATTATGTATTTTAAAAAATAAAAATTGAAAGCAAACAAARTGAGAATAGACTGTGTGAATGACTACTTGACAACTTGAAAGAAGACTCGTATAATACTTTTCTTTAGTACAATATGTGGGATTAAAATTCGAATTCTCCATTTTTTTATTAGAGATAGATATCTTAACTAATTTAACTRTGTTCGAGTTGACCATGATTATCATAGATGTGAATAATCATCCAAAAAAATTATATGAGAATAAAGCTTTTGTTTAGCTTATAAAAGTAAAATTATTATTATTATTACTTTGAGTAATTTTAAAGGTAAAATTATCAAGATATATTAAAGCGAAAAATATTATATTATTATAAAAAATATAATAGGATTTGTGATTATAATATAGGCACTGGCGTAATATAGGGGAATAAAGTTCTGACTGTCAATTAAAAAAATTTTAAAAAATACTTTTAGTCCATGTACTTTTGTTAAATTAACAATTTAGTCCTTGAATTTTAGTTTATAATGATTCAGTCTCTATTCTTTCAAATTGGTAACAATTTAGTCATTTAACTTTAATATGTAACAATTTAGTCTTGATAATTTAAAGTTGGTAACGATTTAGTCCTTATCGTAAATTTTTTTGTTTGTTAAGTTTCTTGCATGTATATATTGATAAACTAAAGAAGGACCAAATATGTTTATGAATTAGAAAGATTAAATTGTTATATGATAAAATTTGACACTTAATTTTAATAAAAATTTTTACAATAGGAATTAAAGTATTACAAGTTAAATTACAAAGACTAAATCGTTACAAACTGAAGTTYAAAGATTAAATTGTTACTTCAGTGAGTACATTGATGAAATGTGTTTTTTAACTTAAAAATAAATATATATATTCTTACTATTATATTTTTTAAAAGATTTAATTTGTGCGTAACCTTTTTTTAATGGAGAGAAAAATAATATAACTGAAATCAGTGGGCCGCGTATGCCGCAGGGCCCAAAACAAAGGTGGCCCATATTTTCTTCAAACGTCGTGTGCACGCGACGGGGAGAGAAATTTCTTTATTCTTTATTCTTGTTTTTATTTTTTTATTTTTTTCCTTTTTTCTCGAAATAAGGGGTGGTTTATTCTATTCTTATTGTCTATTGGGTTGTCAAGAAAGAAAGAAGTTGACCGAGTGTGGACCACACTAATAACCTGAAGCCCAAGCTGTGAATAAATTATTGGGTATGGTTGAAAACATACACCAGCAATTTTACAACCTGAATATGGAAAAAAAATTGTAGCTAATAAATAAGGACAACGTCAACCTGAACCTAATTCAACTGGTTAAGATGTTGATCTTCTGATCGAAAGGTTGTAAGTTTGAGTCTTCATCCTTACTCAAACAAAAATAAAATTAATAGAAAAGTCACATATTTAAAAATAATAATAAACTTAAAAATAAAGCTACCCATGATGGCCTCTTTTGGTAATTTTTTAGAATTTGTAATGAATACGGAAGTATTTTTCACATTTAGAAATATAGAAATAGCTTTTGAATTTTGTATAACACAAAATATTTCAAATCTGATTTATTTATTTATTTATTTTATAATTATTGTGGTTTTACCCTTCCATATTTTTAGAKATATTAATGGTATATCAACACTCATAATTAGCTGTATTAATATTATTGATTCTTTCAATGCTATAACAAATCAAGTATATCAATGACATATAAGCATTAATACCAGGACAGACACTTAAGTTACCAAATACATACATGTCATCTAAAATTTATAAATAACACAACACATTTCAATGAAGAGAAATAATATATCAAGTATATTATTGATATCGACATTCACATCAAGTGTATTAACAACACTCATAATGATCAGGTATATCAATGGTGTACTTAAAAGAAAATGTATATTAAATTACTATATAATTATTTGGGCTCCTATTTGAGTTTCGTGCTGATTAATGATATAATGGACTTATACTTCCTTATGCATTAGCTGGGCTTCTAAATTTTATATTTTTGCAAAAGTAGACAATTTTGCTACTTTAACAAATTCCTAGTACTTTTTTACAATTTTCACAAGTTTCCCTCAAACCCGTTTTTTTTTTTTAACATTTAGTGCCCCTCTAATCCTACAAATGAAAAAAAAATTACTTTGGAGGTGAGATTTAAACCTTCATAGTCACCAATATCTAGAATATATATAGGTTATGGCAAGCATAAGAAATTCAAATTCGATCCCACGTTTCCTCATGGGCTTGGACCTCCCAATTTACCAACCCCATATGATGGCCCAGTCTTTTTCTTTTTTTTTTTTTTTTAAATGGCCAATCTCTCAATTGCAAATGGAATTGAATCATATAGCAAATTATATAATTTAGTGTTGTATTTTTATTCGACACTAGCTTGATACGATATTTTCATATAATTTAGTATCAATTTTAGATGTTTCTAAATTTTTATATTTAGTCTATTTTGGTATCTAAACTTTTAATATCATATTTTAGATAATACATTATGTGGGTATTAATTTAGTATCACAAATATTTGCTTTTTGAAATCCTATTGAAAGTTTAGATTTAAAATAGTTATTCTTTTAAAATTTGTGAATAAAGTTGACAGTTTAAAACTTTGTCAAATGTCAGAGAGTTGTTTTAAAAAACCAATGAGACGATTTAAATCTATCTTTTTATCTCTTCGAAGTTCTAGAAGGTCTTTTTCTTTTTAATTCTAGATAAAAAAGAAGAATACAAAAAAAAAGGAATTGATTGATTTATATATGTAACAACTCTCGGAGATTGAGAAGCAGTCAAAAAATCCATCCGCGTCACTTGGAATTGGCCAATGACATTGACCATTAATACAAAATCCATATAAGGCTTAATTAATTAATTAATTTTCACAAATCACCTAACTTGTTTGACAAGAAAATATGTTCTGTAAATCTCTTTTTAAGCCATCCCAAAATTTTTTTAATAAATGCGTTTTAAAAATATATAAGGCGTTACATAACAAGTTCATAGTTTTTAGGTGTAATAATATTATATAATATGATAATTCTTTTAAAATGTGTTTTACCCTTCTTGTCTTGAGGTTTATGGATTTAAAATTTAATATGCATGAGAATAGGAAATATGCATGAGAATAAGAATTTGAAGAAGCAAAGAATAATTTAATAAAAATAACAAAGTTTTATTACTCCAAAAGTATACATCATCTCACTGTGTGGGAATATTGAAAAGAAAAAAGAGGACGGACGTATACCGTATAGGTATGATGAAGAAATCAAAACAAAAGTGAAATTCGAAGAAAATCACTCAAATATTTTTTTTCCTTACAGCCATTACTATTCTAATTTATTTCGTCCCCTCACAGCTGTGCAAGGAAAATAACCATAATAATAAAGAAAACGTCCAACCAAATTAAATAACAAAATTAATCAACTTCTCATGATCTTCACATAGGAGCTGGGGCTTCAGCTGTGGGCAAGATTCCGGTGGCAGCCTCCGATGACATGGGACCCGCGGCCGCGCCCGAGCTCAACAGCTCCGCCATGGCACGGTGGGGGCTCGTGCGCTGTCTCTCGCAAAGGTCCGGCAAGAATACCCCTGCAAAATTAAATCACCAACGATAACACATATTTTAGTTTCACAAATTTCACTAGTTACAACATAATATAATATAACCAATGTATATTGACGCAGATCTAAATTTTCCCTTTTAAGAGATTTATGTTACATATGTGTAAAGAGTTAGAAGGTAAAGTTTTGTGTTAGGGGGAGCGGATTACCCTCTCCTGCAGCCATGTTGAAGTAAAGGTCGACGATGTTGGGGCATTTCTGGTAGCAAGGAGGGGAGCAGAGCTTGGCGGTGAAGTGGGGCTCGAGGAGGGCGTCGGAGGCGATACCGACGGAGTTGCGGTCGAGGCCGCAGGCGTTGATGCAGTGGTCGGACTCTATGTACTCGGCCATCCATTCGACCATAACCTCGGAGGTTCTGCATTGGTATTCAAACTTGCCATCTTTGTTCTCAGAGGTCTCCAACAAACACCTCTTCCCTGATGAAGCGATGGAAAACGCACAAACATCCACCGACAATTCCTCGCAGACAAGCTCCCCAACGGCTGCGGAGAGGAAGAGGGAGGAGACGAAGAGAAGGGCGGCGAATTTGTTGGAGAAAGCCATGAGAGAGAGAACTAATTAATTAATGGAGTAATAGAGAGGGGGTTTGGTTTTGTTTTCGTTGGTATTATTTATAGAAACTCAAAGAAGAGGATGAGCTTGAGAGAAGGCTCTGGGTTTGAGTCTGAGAGAAACAAGGAGACGAGGGTGGCCTATATATAGCAAACGCAAACAATATAATGTGATTAATGTGAGAGGGACACCCACGGCCGGCTTGCTTTCCAAGGGAGCTACCGGTCATCGGCGACCTCTACTCCTATTTGTGTCTTTTTTTTTAATACAATGAATGAAGCAGTGGATTCAAATTCATGATCTCTTATTTAGACAGTATTTGATTTTTATTATGGTCCAGAGAGAATTACGTTTACATCGAAATCACGCGTTAAAACTATATTAAAGGGACACACGCACACGTTGTTTTAACAACTCTWTAAAGTCAAATTTATTTTTAATACACCAATTATTTCTTTCATTTGCTGCATTTTTTCGTTGACGGCTAACCAAGCCGTGTATTTGGTCTTGGTGCGGGGCTGGTGATCAGCTGAGGTGGCCCTCTTTTCTGTTCAAGTTCCCACCTTGGAGAACCTTCGTGGATGTGGGATGTTTTGTGTGTCTTTTTTTTCCTTCCTTTTTTTAATAGTTTAAATACTATTCGACACCTATCTCATTATTTCATTTTAATTTCTATACTAATTTTTGTCTATTTTAGTATGTGAACTTTCGAAAGGTTCGTATCTCTATTTTTAAAAAGTAATTTTTTTGTCTTTATTTATAAAATTTTAATACAAATTTGATTTATAATAAAAACGTTTTAATACAAATTTATGACTAATTTTCAAAAAATTTTATGGAATGAAGTGTCGTGTTAAAATTATTTATATGAGATAAAAAGAAAAATAAAATTATACAAGTACGGAGATAAAAATAGACTTTTCAAAAGTATATAAACTAAAATGAACCAATATTAAAATTAGAGAAGGCTAAAATAGACGTTTTGAAAATATATAGATMAGTACAAACAAAAGCCATACAAGGATAAAAATAGTGTAAAATAAAAATTAAATTATGAATTTATAGTCCTTCAATAAAGTTTCCCTTCTTTTTTTTTTTTTAAAGAAAATCTTTGAATTTTAAAATTTCTGTTTAATAAGTTTTCCATTATATGAAGTTAATTACGTCATATTAACCCTTATACCACTAAACTTGCACAAAATCAACTCATTTCGTAATTCTTGTTTTTCTTAGTGCTTTAAATTCTAAAGTCCATGGGTTATATGTTATTCTTTTTAGTTCAACAAATGGGGGACAAATGAGGGATGGGAGGATTTCAGATTCTGACTTCAAGAAAATAGTAATTTTATTTATYGAATTATATTTAATTGATTAGTAAGCATCATATCGTTAAAAAAAGAACCTATCTGACACAACATTATCTAACTTGAACATAGTTCAACTGATATTAAGACACCCATTTCTGACTAAAATGGTCATGAGTTTAAATTTCAATCCTACATATTATATTAAAAATATATATATGTTTGACGCAATATTGGAGATTTAAGAATTTATTAGAAAATTTTTAAGAACTAGATAAACAATCTTAGAAAGTTTAAGGACTTATTGAAAAGTTACACAAGGACTAAATTGGTAACTTTGAAATTTCATGGACTGAATTTGTAATTTATTTATTAATTTAATATATTTTTAATATATGTTTATTTATGATTATTAATATAACAATGTGGGCTTATATCGTAATTTAAGAAATTGTCAACCAATGAAGGTCGTAAGTAACGAGAACCTAAAATTATAATCTAAGATTACATACCCGGTTAAATTCCAAGTGGCTAATATATTTTGGCCATTAAAAAAAGAAATTTGGCAAGTTGTCGAGGGAGTCAATTTCTTTATGTTTTTTCTTTCTTTTTCTTTTCATTTTTTTAAACCACTTTCTTATATATATTTGTTTTAAGGCACTCGTGGAGCAATGGAAAAGAGCTCACCTAAATCTAATTTAACTCGAATTTGAATTCTCGTTCTCACATGTTGTTGTAGGCTGCAACTCGCCTGTATGAAATTGGAATCTCTAATAATCATCGGTCAGTCATAAAGGTGGTGAAATATTTTCTTTTAAATGTTATAATCTCYGATAAATGTTCTTTAATTGTGAATAAAATTTGAAAAGGAATTGTGGGGATTGGTTTTTGACCTCAACTTCATTTTTATTTACACCTCCTCAATCGAAAATGATAAGTTGTTGAATAACTGCTTCAAAAAGAAAACATTTTCCTTTTCAGAGATTTAAAACAAAATTAATATTTATTAAAGAGTTTCACAATCAAAGTAGGGTCTAAAAATAACATCACAACACATTAGGAATTCTTGTATTAGGAGCTTTATAACCACCACAACTTTTTCTCTAACCTACGAACTAGACTTTCATATAGAAGTTGTTTTATCAAACACTAAAGAACAATTTTTCAATCATGTTGACCTTAAATGTAATTGAAATTTAATGCAAAATCCTTTTCCTTCCAATTAAGTTCAATGTCATTGGCATACAACAAAAATTAGCCCCACAAATGTTACAAGGATGAAAAAGAACAAACAAAAAAAAAATGCATCTCCAAATACCCTTGTGGGAGAATAACGTAATATTTACGTTTGTTTTTCTTTTATCCCAATCTACTTAAGCTTTACCAATTAGTGCCACGTAGGTGACATTATTATTTAACAAGTTTATCTATAAAAAGTTTAAAATTTTGAATTTGTATACTTTATGTTAAAATTGATGTAGTTTACCTTTAAAATGTAGGAATAAATTTCAAAAAATATATTTGCAAACGTTCGTTTGTAATTTATTTTATATAAAAGTTAATTTATAACTAGAGAGATGAATATTGAATTTGGAGAAGAGAAAATGATAGAAAAAGCTTGATTGATTATTTCCTAGCTAATCAATATATACAGATATCGAACAATAACCAATCACGATACACTAAATCTCATAAAGTCAAAAGATACCTTTTCTAATGATGAATTTTATATGGCTCCAGATGCATTTAACTTATGGAATTATTAAATACAACTGTTCAATATTTTAAGGAAAACAAGACTCAACCTGCAAACTTTAAACTATAAAAAATTATAGTTGACTGGAAAAATTGGATGATTTCATTCTTAGGTGGGCAACCGGTGATGACAAATTGCATTCGTAAATTAGGGAGGAAGAATTCTCACAAATAAAGAAAAGGGAAAAACAAAATTGGTTAAGGCAAAGATTTGACCTGTTATACATTAGACGGCATGGGATTTTCAGATGATGGTGGAAAATGAAACATTTCACTATTATATGCTTTCAATATCATTTCACAGAGATTCATACACACGTCACTTTCTTTTAGGTTGCTTTTTTAAAAAAAAAAAAAAAAAAAACGGCCACATGTAAAATTCATATCAATAATAACCCAGTCAATCTTCAAATTGATAATAAAATTGTACATTGTTTTCTAATTCTACAGACAAAAAGGGTTATTTTAGAGCTGTAATAGTTTTTGACCCATTAATCTATCTTTACAGACGGGTTTATGTTCTACAATGGGGAATTCCCAAATCCATGGCTATCTTGTCTGGTGATAAATAGAAATACAGAAGAGATGTCCTAACATATGTACTGCATTTACTAGAATTTCACCAAGAGGTTCCATCTGGAAATTTACATCTCATGTTTCAGAACATAAAAGGTAAGCATGAGAAAATTACTCTTGCATATACAAATGGTTGCATCAGTACTATTTCCAGCATCAAAAGGGGCAGGGGGGGTGGTTTGGTGGGGAAAGGTGCCTAGTGGTGGTACTAATTCAGAAAATTTGACTTGAATACTACAGATGAATGGTAATTTAATCTTACCATACCAACTTTCTGGAAGTGAAAATATGGTTATTTCCTTAAGTTAAGAGCATCTTGTCAGCCTCAGTCATCTCCAGTCAATTTCTAGCAGCAGCAGCAGAACTCGTTTGATTTACAGATCCGGGAACTACAATTTTTTGGCTGAAATATAAAAAAAGTGAAGATTTAACAACGCACAATTTAACTATCACCATATAATGCACGAGCAAAAGCTGCATATGGTTTTACCTGGGCTTAAAATTCTTATGCATTTTGTCATGGACTTCACTGCGGTCAAAGAATCTACGCCTGCATTAGTAAAATTTTCCCATAAACTTATAAATTTGGTCGATGGAACTTCAACTGGTGTAGAAGATGAAGATGAGCTACACTACCTTCTGTATTTGTCTCCTTTCCGGACAAAATTTGTGTCACGGTTGATGAAAATTCCGACATCATCTGATTAGTCCCCACGTTACAGTCCATTGATTCATGAGATGACCTGGGAAAAGAGAATATAACAGAACATCAGATTAAGAGATGAACAATAGTTCATGGGAAATGCAGTGTGATGAGCAGAAAATTACCCAGAAAAAGTGTCTGTAGAAACGCCCAAGGTTGGGACGGATGAACAACCAATTACTTCACAGTCCATATCCAAATCAGCCAACATTTCAGTGAAAGAGAAATCTTCTCCAAAAACATCTAGAGAGGGCAAATCGATGTCAAAGATATCCAATTGCTTTTCAGATTCGGATAAATAAATTTCGTTGTCAATCCCTTTATCTGAGCTCATGGGCACGTCTGAAACATCAAAATCTAACCGCCCTTTCACGTGATCCCTCTTACCCTGCCTTTTAGCGTTTGTCTTGACGGGGGAAGGAGATAAAATGCTATGGTTCCTCTCCACAGAATAGTATGCAACTTGCTTGTAAGGACTGATTGTCACTCTTTTTGATGAAATTACAGTACAGCAAGTCGGACTAACGTCTTGCGGAGTATTGTTGTTACTGCAATCAGCAGCTGAAGAAATCTCATGTGGAGATGTAGACTTGTCACTTTGACAGGAATTCGCACGTGGGGGAGTTTTTGGACCAGAAGAGTTAGTTGGAATAGAGAATGATGGCTGGTTGAACAAACATTTAACAACACTCGATCCTTGAACCACAGACTCATTGGGCGGGCAACTAGGAGACGATGACTGAATTTCATTAGAATGCTGAACCGTTGATTGAACATTGCCAACTTCCGCAGATTGGGAAAGTGCATCCGTATCTGTAATGGGCATAAATTATATTAGATATGGTTAAAAATAGATGCACCTCAATCATATACGAGCATAAACAATTTGTAGAGAAAATCTTGCCTTTGCTTGCTGGCTTCCTGGAAGATGATTTATTTCGAGATCTCTTAGCAGCCGGAGGAGCACTAATTGAAGTCTTGGAGCTCTTTCTCTTATTTGCTTCCAAGTCATTAATTACGGGTGTAGAGAAACTTTGAGGCCCCCCATTTGTGTTTGGAGGTGTGATTTCTGGATGAACAGGTTGTGTAATGTTCATGGGGCAACCTGATAGCAGTTGATCTCATTATCATTCACAAAAATGTGTCAAACTTACACTAGCCTAACCAAATGCAGCTCTCAAGTTTGCTGTAATAAGAGAGGGGAAGTTTTCTATAATGTTCTTAGAATGTTCACCTGGGTATATAATTCACCAGGAAACTCCCACAGATAATTAAAAATACTGCTTAGCAACTCAATCTTGACGACTAAGAAAAATTGTAGAGAAACCCACTCCTCCAGGTCTCCAAAAGGAAAGTGAAAAGTTGAGGCAGATCCCCCGAACTAGATTTTTACTTTTGCCAATAGTCTATGACTATATGCAGAATTTTATGCCTAATGAGTTCGGAGTACTATAGCAATTGAAAAGGCCATTCTAAGAGGGGAACTCATAAAATCTTAGATATTCAAATTTGAGATCTAACCCTGGTAGTTTTTCCAATAGATATTCCAATTTCTCAAGAAAACACATCTGTTTATGAAACCAAGAAGATTTAAAACGGTACCTGCAGGAGATTCGGATGGATCAGATTGAGCAACAGCAGCCACTTTAACTGGAGCAGCTGAAATCGAAGGCATTGGGGACCTTCCGCTGGCATTATAAGTACTCATGACATTTTGCATACCCTGTAGAAGAGTCTGAACGCGAACCTTCTCTTGCTCCAAATGAACTCTTTCCTGGTCCAGAATTACCTTTTGCTCTTTCAAACAGATATACTCATTCAACATAGCCCCTAAGGTCAGTAAGCTCTTCGGAGCCTGCAAACGGGCAGAATGAAACCCCATGATTAAAAAAACAAACCCTAACTAATAGAATTTAAAAAGAGAACAAAAAAAACACTCAGATCTTCAACTAATCAAAATAGGTACCTCTTGAATCGGAGATTTCGCAATAAGTGATGAAGCCTCGACTCTAAAAACAGAGCGGGTTTCTGAGTAATTGTTGTCGGAGAGATACCGATCCACAATGAAGGCGACCTGAACAGGGGTTACTTTCCCTTTGCTAACATTCTCGGATTTTCTAGCTTTGGTTTGCTTCCCCATTCTCGCCGGCGGGAGAATAGGCAACGGAGCCGCGAAAGGAGTAGGAAGATTGAGGGTTTCAGATGCAGATTCGATAAGCGGAGAAAGAAAGAGAGAAATCGGTGATAGGAAACGGAGGCAAAATGAATTGAGAAACTACATAAGATCCAAAGTGGAGGGAAAGAAACTGATGATTTTAAGAGAAAATGGAAAACGCGGGAGATTTTGAAATTTTTGCGGGTAGCGTGCGTTGGCGGTTATTTGGACCCGCCCTCTCTCCCTTTCCCGCCACCGTTGTTTCATTCTAGGAATTTCTAATTTCTAAAATTATTTTATAAAATAAATATTTAATTATTTTATATAAATTTGCCCCAGTAATTTACACCAAGTTAGAGTTATAAATCTTTTATTTAATTATTCTTTCATTTTGTTGTCATGCTAACTAAATTTATTTACTAATCTATGATGGATAGTTTATTGGTCCAAATGATCTATAAGGAATTAATTCAAACCTTAAAATTGAATTGATTGACTATCTTTTATTTTATATTCTGTACAATTAAATTAAATAATAAGTATGGTTCAAGTTGACCAAACCAACTTAATTTGCCTAATATATTCAATTTTCTAATTTAATATTTGTTTTACATGTTAACTTTTTTTTACAGGTTAACTTAATCTTTCCCTTATAAAAACTTAAAATTAAGAAAAAAGCTCAACATATGAATTAATTATTTGTCACTTGCAAATTTAATAAATTTGTTTACTTAATGGCGGGAAAATCCAGAGAGGTAGCAATCCATTCGCTCTCGCCGCCGCCAGGAAAGGACCACCATCATCGGCCCTGCACGGAKAACCAGGTCGCCGCTCCAATTTTCCATATCCTGAAGCTCATCTCCTTCTCCTATCCTCTGCTACTCGCGCGGTAGACTTGCTTTTCCACGATGATGCTATTCAACGTTACATGTGCGAGGAGTAGGAGCTGAGACGAGCGCAAAGATGGAGAGCCAGTCTCTAAACCAAGCGATGAGACGGAGTTTGAAGAAACAATCGTGTTATTGGCTCAGAAGCTCAAAGTTTGTTAGAGGTTAGAAAGTTCGCGAAATTTTCGAAAATTTTACATAGTTCAACTTTGCGCTCTTAGTTAGTATGGAATCGTGTTACTAGTCTTGTGAAATCGTATATGGCATCCTCCACGGATGAAATTTTCAAATGCATTAAGAAGTGCATTGTTACTMTTAATCGATGTTTGGAATGGACACGTAGCCTTTATTCACAATCGTGTATTTGGCAAATACAGGCTATATGTTACTTGTATCCGAAAATTAGGAACCATGTCAATTCTGTTTGGCATAAAGTAGGTCATCTAATTGCTTAAGCAATCGAAACGGCTTCATGATCTGAAAATTGAAGTTTGGATGAAACTTGCTGAAGGAGAAAGAATGCAAATCAACTCCATGATCAATATAGACCCGAGAAGATCGTTGTTGTGTCTAGGTTTAAAGTGCATTTGAAGAACAAATAATGACAAGGAAAGGCATTGGAGATGTCTCACGATCGATTATAAACCATGATTAACTTATTGATCCTAATTCAATTTTACAAGTTGTACTTCAATTTTGAGACRGCTTTAGCAGGATGAAACGCAAATTTTGAATGATTGTCTGTTTACCAGATCTAAACAAACTGCATCACAGGGCTCTATCAGAGGAACTGTGCCTGATTTACTCTTCTAGAATACTGCGGTATATGATGTTGATAGAAATGGCCTTTTAATATAAGGTTTTTATGTTTTAGACGTCCAAGTTTTTTGCTTCCTGTATAAACTAATTCGCCATGATGAATAAAAGGTTTATGCTCCATCATAAGATAAAAGGATTAAAGGAAGTTGTTGCCCGTATATGATATATTTTTATTTTTGGGCTGCTTCACCAGGTGGTGTTCAAGGAATTATGAAAGATATTTATCGCCCGAGACTCATAATTGTCTCATAATTCTGGGATAAGCTATAATCTCAAGTTGGGCRTCAGAAAATAATTCACAGGCTATTTTACTATACTGATTGGTACTTCTAAATTGCTAATGTCTCAAGCATGTATATGGAGGAACAGGCCAATGGGTTCTTAATTCAAGGTGCATATGATCGCTATTGCTCTAACATGCATGAATGGCCCAATAAATTGAAGAGAGAATAACAATGAAAGTGCCCTAAACTTCAAATAGCTTTCGAATGAATGGACCATTCTTTAAATTTCGATGTGCTAATTGACTGGCTTTGGAGAGCCAAACTTCTGAGTTAAGTAGCTGATTTCTTGAACTGTGGCTGGAAGAAAGTTCTACCTTACAAATCATTCCGTGCTGACCACACAGTTATTGTTTATATATCACATTTGAGTGCATGTTTCTAGTTAGTGTTGCAATTAATATTTAAAAGTGTTGYCATACCTCCCTGGAGCTGTCAATGTGATCATGCATTGCTTGTGCCCAAAGTATGAATGTTCATCTGTTTGCAGGTGTATAAATAAAAGGTTAACTCGGCTGGTGCTGAAAGAATTTAGTGGAGCTTTTAAAGCATCGACGTCTTCTTTTCCAACCCCATCCTCACACCGCTATTAATCTGAATCAAGGTTTGCTACCAGCTTTTCTTATCTCTTTGTGACTGCAAGTTGGTGATTCTTGCATGACCTTGATATCACAAAAGGATTACCAAACCCAAGCCGGTTTCATGTGCCTGCCATTGTGTATAAGGTTTTCATGACCTACAAAAAGAGAAAAAAAAAAAAACGATTATCTACTTGAGTCTCGAAAGAATAAAATGTAAAGGCACTACTTGAATAAGTTCACATATATACTTCCCTCGTTACCTTATAATCTGATTACTAGGTGTATTGCATTACTTTGCTTCCACCGAGTGATTCCATATGTAAAGAGGCTCTCAAGTCCTATGTTATAAAGACTAGCTGCGCTTATTTATCTGTTCCATGGAATATTGGAAGAATTTGGAGATGGATTGTATCCCCAAATCCTTCGACCACAAAATTTCAGTAAATGGATGCCCAATGGAAAGGTTAGTGGTCCCTTCAGTAACTTTTTGTTCACATGTAAATGTTTTGATCTGTCTTGAATTTGACCTTTGTGACATAAAAAAGGTGGTTCTGTCTGTCAGAAGTTTTGTTCACATGTAAATGTTTTACCTGGTATTGAGTGTTGCTTCACATGCTTAACCCTTCTAAAATAAGTCCTCCGCGTGGGGACTACTTAGTTTCAAAATAAAATACCAAATCAACGAGTTAACCTCCAAATCAACAACTATACATTACAATAGTTCCGACTGTTCGATGCCAACATCCCTGCGAAGCCAACGTAGAGAACTGAACCACTGTAAATAAAAAAACTTGTCAATAGTACAATTCATTAAATGATAATCGTGTGAGCAGGTGATAGTATAGCTGTCCAATCCTGCACCATTTGGGTCAAACTCCAGAAATATGTTCTGCATTTAATGAGAAAAAGAAATGGGACTACGGTTGGTGCAATCAAAGCAACACGAATCGGTTGGTGGCACCTTCTTACTTAATAGCCCTGTACTGAAGTGTGAAAACTTTTCCACCTTTTCTGGGTAAATTTCAGCGACATGGGCCTCTTTAGGTTATACTTCTCAATCTTATTTCTATTATTAACCTATGGATCACTGCAGTGCTGACGATTTTTTTAGTTATCATATAGACTTGAAATCTATGACTAGTTATGCCCTGATGCCAAATAAGGACGGGCTTTACATCTCAATATAATTAGGTGTGAAATGTTAGAAATTTGTGGAGCCTAATCATCAAGACCACTTAGTTGGAAACTTGTTAGGAGACCCGTTTGAAGCTCCAAAGCTCGAACCGAGGAAATAGATAAAGAGAGCAAATAAGTGTGTTGACTAAGGTCTTGAGTGTCTTCTTTTGGAGATGAAAATCTCAAGGATGGTTTTCAGTGACACGGATGTGCTGTATTGCGCCTTGTCCAATGGGGTCGGAGGTTGTAAGATAGGGTCGGGCTGCATCACAGTATGCACAAGTGAGTTGGCACAGGTGCAAGAGTCGCGCCATGCCACGATAGTGCTCAAATGGACAGATGTTTGAGACACCCATGACATAAAGTGAAGAGCCATGGTTTAGGGTGGCATCCTAAAAGTATTGGTTCCTGGGATTGCCCAGTCAGCATTGTACTTGTTTTGGATAGAGCTCAGTAAGCATCATAATGGCATGGTAGAGCTTGATAAGCATTAGAATGGCTCGGTAGAGCTTGGTAAGTATTGGAATGGCTTGGTAAAGCTCGTTAAACATTGTAATTAATAGCCTGGTAAGGCTTGATAAGCAATAGAAACCTGATAAGCTACAATAAAGTGTTATAAGCCTGTTGTGACCTAGCAAAGGGTCAGAACTCATCTCAATACTAGATCAATGTATAAGTGAGATTGATCATGTTGTCGAGAACCAAAGGATGGAAATTAGTTGAAATGCATGTATGGGGTGACATGCATTGCCAAGGTAAGTTAAGTCGCACACATAGTGAAGCTTGGGTTGAGGACAAAAGAACCTTGCCAATGGTCCGCAAAGCCACAGAGGGTAAAAAGAAATATATACAGGATAGAGTTTCTCATTTTTTTGAAGTTTAAGGGCCCCTTACTATAAAACTGAACAAACTTTTTTATTTTTAATGAATTTGATGGAATATTTTCTTTTTTTATACCGGGGCTCTGAGATTGGTCATGGTTGTGTGAGAATTATGGTGCACAAAAGGAGGAATATGACATGTAGCCAGCAAAGCTCTAAGATTCTCCTATTCAAATGATGTCTTCTCCTTTATTTGTAACCAATTAGTGAGTGGCAATTAGAGAGAAAAGGGAGTGACAACTAGGCTTTTGAGAGTATGAGAGTATTTTTCAAAGAGAAAAAAAAAACGAGAAAACACTTTGAGATTGTAAATCCCCATTGTAATCTCCTGCTATATAGTATGGTGTGCCATTGTTTATCTCTTTATTTTGTCTCCCATTATCTATTTTATTTGTGCACTGCTTTATCCCACGGAAAGGAGATTTCAGGTCTGATTGAATAGTCAAAAACTCCCAACATGAAACCCACCAATTGAAGACGATGGCACGATAAAGCTTGCAGAATTAATGACAAAATTGAAGGAAACCAAGGGCATCCCTGCAAGAAATCCTTTTACGAATTTCTGATAGAAAGTACTTCATGTGGAGTAAAGGGTAAATGTATTTAATATTTTCAACCTCATTCAACCGACTCAACTGTCCATTTTGCATTATTCTCGTAAAATGAAGCTGAGAATTCTCAATACATGCATGCCGAATTCCCGCTAAATGATTGCAGATTTACCGCTAGACCATACACTTTACTTCTACAATGTTTTTATCGAAGCATTTTGGTGGATATGGATTGGCCTTTATAATGGTACCTACAGTTTGACATTGGTCCACTACGGCTTTACCTGAGATCTGCTGCAGGATCTAAATTTAATTTAAAAGACCATTTTCAGCGACACAAAGCATGATGATTTTTTTGTTAACATTGTGATTTAAGATAATCCTCTGTTCACTTCAAATTGTGTTCATAAATGCTTCGATAAAAAATGTTTGATCTAATTTTAGAAAATTTTGAGCCACAATTCCTATAGCAAAGCTTCATTTGGACCTCCTCCTATGCTTAAAGGGGTTGCTTATCAATGACCCAATTATACAACCTACCAAACAAATCCTGTTTAAGTAACATCATTAAGGGTGCTCATCAAATGACACCCATTATGGAGTTGTCCAAATCACAACCATTTTTGAATCATTTTGAATTGAATAGAAGGCAAACACATCCATCGTTCCAGTGGGATTTTCCAGAAAACAACATACTACCTAAAAGATGAAGTACTTGGTGCTGTCACCTCAGATGAAGCAATGGAAGATGTAGTTACGAACAAGCTTCCGGTGTTAGATTTAAAGTCTTAAAACACTACACATTCACAAGCCCACATCCACCGTRACTTTAATGGGTTCGGCCAAGTTCAGAAGAAAGAAGAATTGAGTTAATTGCAGAATTGATCAATATAAAAGAAAGAAGATACCATATACTTGCTGCCTTTTGTTGGGTAAATTTCAAATAATCTGTGAAAGGAAGAACATAAACCTGAAAATATTTTCAACTGAGAAAACTTGCAGGATAACAAATTACACAACCGCATATATGTAACTGATATTCTTCATGTTCCATTATCCAGATGACACAATTAAGAACCAAAAAGGGAAAGCAAATCTTAATTGACGATATTATGGCCTAAACTACATTCTACAGCTATGAGAATTCATTTAGGCCTAATAAAATCCAACCACTTCCTTGCCAGAGACTGGCAATTGAAAGTCCAAACACCCTATACGTCCCTTCATTCCTCCTGTTCCTCAACCTCATCTTCGTCGTAGTAATCATCTTCATCAGCTGTAGCATCTTGGTATTGCTGATACTCAGACACCAGATCATTCATATTGCTTTCGGCCTCAGTAAACTCCATCTCATCCATACCCTCCCCTGTGTACCAATGCAAGAAAGCCTTCCTCCTAAACATAGCTGTGAACTGCTCACTGACTCGGCGGAACATCTCCTGGATTGATGTTGAATTACCGATGAACGTCGATGCCATTTTCAACCCAGTTGGGGGAATGTCACAGACGGTGGATTTCACATTGTTGGGGATCCATTCAACGAAGTAGGAAGAGTTCTTGTTCTGGACATTGATCATCTGCTCATCGACCTCCTTGGTGCTCATCTTACCCCTGAACATAGCCGAGGCAGTAAGATAACGGCCGTGTCGGGGATCAGCAGCACACATCATGTTCTTGGCGTCCCACATTTGCTGAGTGAGCTCAGGCACGGTCAAAGCTCTGTATTGCTGAGATCCACGGGAAGTGAGGGGAGCGAAACCCACCATGAAGAAGTGGAGACGAGGAAATGGGATGAGATTGACGGCAAGCTTTCGGAGATCTGAGTTGAGCTGTCCCGGGAATCGCAAACAGCAGGTTACGCCGGACATCGTTGCAGAAATCAGATGGTTTAGATCACCGACTGCTCAAGAATACAAGAAACTATTAGAAAAAGGTTCGAAAGAAAAAA